CTCGTCGTCGAGGTAGTCGTCGCCCTCTAGGTAGAAGAGCGGCCGCACACATGGCCATGAACGTAGGGCTTCGTCGCGGTTGAAGCACAACCCGACGGCGACGTTCTGCCGCTTTCGGCGGAGACAGCGGCGACGAATTGGCGCCGGGCGGGCTGCGACGGCCCCTGGACCGGTGAAAGCACGGCCGCCACGCCATGACCGGGCGACGTTAAGGCCTTCTTCTTTGTTGTGCCGCCGACCGGCCATTGTGGTGGTCGGACGCCACGCTACCGGTGGTGGAGGCGCCAGGCGTATCGCCGATCCTCAAAGGCCGCGCTAGGTACATGGCGGATCGAGATCCGTGGCGCGCGCGATCTGCACTTCGCTTCGATGTGGTCCGGGGAGGCCGCCACGTATAACTCCGCCTTTTAGCGAAGCGGAGAGGTCGCGGGCATGGCGAGCACGCACTGATTGTGGCGCTCGAGTAGTCCCGCATGTGAGAGACGAAGGGGAGACGGGCGAGCTCTGCCAAACGGGTACCCATAACCGGCGGTCCAAAACGGAGTGAGCAGAGGGCCCGAAAGCGCTCCCATGGTGGCATCCCCTCGTCTTGCTCCAGGGCATAATACCATGTCTGCGCTGCACCGCGCAAGTGGTAGGACGCGAGCCAAGTCCTAGACGAGGCCGGCGTCTGCTGTCCCCTGAAGAACTGCTCGCACTGGTTCAACCAGTTGAGGGGGTCCACCGAGCCATCGAATGTCGGGAACTCCAGCTTGTAGAATTTGGGCCCGGCTTGGGCGCCACCCAAAGCGAACGCCGCAGCAAGGCCGGGGTCGACCACCCCTGTGTACTGGCCGGCCGAGGGTGGAGGTGCTCCCTGGAACAGCGGTCCATCTACCCCCCCATAGAAGATGTCGCCGGCGGGGGGCAGGGAAGAGGCGGCGATCGTCGATGACGGAGCCGAAGGCGCTGGCGTAGAGGAGACGGCTGTCGAGTAGAGCGGCGCGGAGGCCGCCATCTGGGTCTGCAGCCAGGCGGGCAACGGCGACGGCGAGCTTGCCTTGCGGTGATGGAGAAATGATGGAGGGGAACGCTGACTTCGAAAAGGTGTGCATGTCAGGTAGGACGCCGCCGGAGCAGACGGCGTTGGTGTGGAAGATGCGGTCGTCGGCGGAGGAGCCGGGAACGGCGGCGGCTGCGGTTGCTGGACGAGGCCGTTCCAGGCAGCCCTCATCTCCCGCATCTCGCGCTGGATGTCGAGGACGACGGAGGCCAACGCATGCAACGTGAGGGGGGCCCGAAGAAGCCGTTGCATCGGAGATCCCGAAATTCACGGAGGACAATGCCGGTGGGGGGTGGTGACGGCGGCGTGGTGGTGGGAGGCAAGGGAAGCGACATCGTAGCTCAGGAAGCCGATACAGTTGATAGGATTACGGATCCTACCGCGTGAGATCACGGAGTCTGTAGGGGTGAGAGGGAGGTGGAGCAGTGGGAACCTCATTGCCGGCCGTGCCGGACGCCGTGGTGGAGGATGGTAATTTCTTCTGCTGTAGCCCTAACTTTCACGCTGCTACAGATGGCGGCGACACTTTTCACGCGTGAACGATGAGGGCAGCTAGGGTTTCTCCCAGCTCCCCGAGGAAGCCGGAAACAATAATATGTTTCGCTTGATCTCCAATCGTTTTACAATTCATCTATATATAGTTCTTCTAAAAATAGGAAACTGATTTGGCAATAGCCAATAATTCTAATATAGATAATTATCATGGGCCCTAAGCCCATGCACCAGGCGCCCAGGTCAGCCACCCGTGGGCCTCCTTGCATACTGGACTCCGGTCATAACAATTATATGTAGTATTATACATTTCATTCACGAAAAGGAAATCAACAAAGATATAGCAAAAAAAAAAGGCACTCAGTGCTACTCCTCTCCTGAGTTCTAAATTATAGTTCACTTTAGATTTATTCTAAGTCAAACTTCTTTGTTTTTGACAAAAAATTAGAAAAAAATATCAATATATATTTGTATATACATCATTAAGACATGTTTCATGGATACTTTAATTGAACTACTTCGGTATTGTAGATGTGGATAATTTTTTTTGTATAAACTTTGTCAAAATTAAAGAAGTTTGATTTAGACAAATCTAGTGAACTACTCCCTCAATACAAATTATAAGTCATTTTGGTTTTTTAATACATTGTTTTTACTACCTATCTAGACATAGTGTACATTTAAATGCATAGCAAAAGTTATGTATCTGAAAAACCAAAATATCTTATAATTTAGAATGAATGGAGTATAAATTAGAATATGGGGATCATAATCTAATCCAGTAAATATTACATCCACATTTTAAAATGTATGATGTATTAAATTAACAACGGGTTGAGGTTGGGGAGGTATTACCATCGATCCGGCTCTGTTCGCTTGAACTTATCAGTCTAGCTTATTAGTCATAATACAATATTTTTCTCTTACAACAAATCAGTTAACAGTACTTTCAGTATGGCTTTTCAGCTAAACGTAGCTGTATCTGTTTCCTGAGTGGATCGGTGACTAGTGTGTGCTACATTTCATCCTTCACTCTGGGTGTGCCGAGTGGTTGGAACCGGAGGTCAAAGGGCTGGAGCTTCATTGGGCCATAGAGGCCATATGGCCCCTCTTCATTTTTGTAATTCTGTAAGGGATGCTAGAGTATTTTAGTCTATTTTACAATTGAAGCTTTAAATTAGCCACTTGCACGCTCCCTAAACTATGTATATTCTACTATTGTCTTCCTCTAAATTTTAACCTCAAGCTCCGCTACTAACTGAGTCACTAGTTTTCGAAAATGCAGATGTGTACGTAATAATTTTTGGGACCGAGTCACCAGTTTTCAATCGTATTTGAAGATTTTATTTCATATAAAAAAGGGTAAAGTATAATTTACACCCTCCAACTATAGCCAAAGTATAGATTTCAACTTCTAATTCTATAAACCGGATGCTAGAGTATTTTGGTCCTCCAACTCTTGAAAAAAGTTCAAATTAGCCACTTGCACGCGGTTTTAGCATAAACTATAGTATGTTGATATTTTTTTCCTCTCAAAATTTTATACCTTTTTTAAGCATCTTAACGTTCTCAAACTGAGTCACTAGTTTTCGAAAATGTAGATGTTGTACGTAATCATTTTTGGGACCGAGTCACCAGTTTTCAATCGTATTTGAATTTAATTTCATATAAATAAATATTAGTGCTCTAATGCGCGAGCTGCGACGCTTGCCTATTATCACTGAAGTTTTATCATTATTTTTTTTTGAGCATCTTGCTGTCCTCAAATGTCGCTGTCAAAACGCCAAAGTTGTAGATCTCATCGAGTCTAAAATTTTGAACTATAAAAATATCTTCAGTATCACTAATATTTATTTTTTTAATATTATCCAATCATCAATGAAAATAGTTTTATATCAAGATTCATCTCTCAATGAAATCTAAACTTTGTAGTTTTGAGTAGTTATTTGAGGACGTTAAGATGCTTAAAAAATAATATAAAAGGTTCTATGAGGCCCCGATCAAAGTACTGTTCATACGCAAAACCGCATGTAAGATTGCAATTTGAATCATATTTTAAGAGTTGAGGACAAAGTATCCGGTTTTGAAGTTTGAGGTTGAAATCTATACTTTGGTGATGATTAGAGGGTGTAAATTATACTTTAAAAAAAAGCCTCACCTGGCTGCAACTGCGAGCGTGCGACGCTTGCCTCTGTCACAGGCTGCTCACCAACCCGTGCGTTGCGGCGTCGCTGTGCCATCGCCACTCAAGATGGCAACATGGCCTCGATATCCAAAACCACGGGTACTTGATCTATTAGAGGATGGGATGAGATCATATCTTTAATCGTAGGCATTCAAATAGGTAAGAATCTATCCCCGATAGGTATAGCGGGTATGGAAACGATCCCTGTTTACTCGTTCTCGTTACCCGTTACCCGTTGAGGAACCCGACTATTTGAGCTGTCATACGAGTATTAGACCTAAAAAAGCTCAACATAGATATTTTGGCCCAAATCTGAACAATCATATATATAGTTTGTGTGTTCTAGGAACCCTAGTTCAGTTTTTCCTCACCATCTCCGTCAGCAGAACAAACACGCCTGTCTCACGAACGCTCGTGCCCCTCGCTTTCTCAGTTCGGTCTCTCTGCCACCTTTGCTCGTCCTCCTCGCAACCTCGCTTCTTCTCCTCGGCATCTCTGAGACTCCGACACTTATATCCGAGTGAAGAAAAAACGTCTCTGATTGCAAAACTATAACCCCAAGTCTCCTTATTTATCGGGTATGCAATACCCGTCGGCGGCGTGGCGTGCTTCAGACCACCGCCCCGCCGTGACTGGTCCGCGATCCGACCACAGGAATGGGGAAAACAGCTTTCTCGAGTCACCTACTGCGTCTTCAGTCCTCACTTCGTCAGGACCCGATGCTTCAAAATTGACAGTGAACCAGCGATTGGTGTCAGAGTAGGGATCTACCCCCAACTGTCGTATACGAGTATGTACTACTCCCATCACCGTATGCACTGGCGTGACTCGTGAGCGAAATAGCGAATGCACTGCGAAATGCTGCCCTTCAGATCTCAACTTGAGGCCTTGTGTGAATGTGTTGAGACTGCAGTAGTTGTTCACTCATGATTCAGCACACCGGAGAAAGTTAAATTTGAGATAAGAGTATTTTTACTGCTACAGTGCGGTGCTACTCCAATAAAAAAAAACATGAAAGTATGGGCTGCGTATGATACAGCAGTGTATAGACTATGGAGTGCGCAGTTTCAACGAGGGCAAAACGGGAAAGAGGAAAATCTTGTGATCTCCGCCTGCAGCCATCTACCCCGGCTTTCCATTTTCTGATCTTCCTCCCCGAACCAGCTGACACCGAGCTACCTACCTTTCCCGCGCCGCCTCTAAAACCCCCCCGCGGCCCAACCAAACCCGCCCACGGATTGCTTGTAGTGGTACCGAGGGAGGCCGCGGCCGCACGCAGCCATGGATTTCCTGCAGGGACAAAGCATCGAGACCACAGTGGCCGTCGCCGTCGCCGTCGCCGTCGTCGCCATCGCCGCGGGCGGCGCCTTCCTCCTCCTCCGATCCAGGAAGCCCAAGGGTATGGACATGTATACACCCTGCTATTCTAGTTGTGCGGATGCGAGATGCATCTGTTTCGTGCAAGATCTGGTTGCCAATGGGCTCCGCGCTTTCATTAGCTCCACTGGAGTGTGCTAGTTCAGTTACCAATTTCGGAAAGTGACTAGGGGAAGGGGTTTCTGTGCTTCAAAAATCAAAGGAGTATTTACTTGCAGCCTCCAAGTTGGTAGTTGTTGGGACAAAAAATCAAAAGAAAAGAAAAACGATCAGAAGTTTGTACCCATGGAGTCTTGCTTGTAGTTGCAGTAGGCTGTCAATCAACTATAGTTTTAGTTTAACCTGCTTTCACGTATTGGTAAGCAGTTCTCTGTCATTGGACGCCGCATCTGTTCTGGCTGACTGTTCCATTTCTGAATGGTGGGGGTGGAGCTTTGAGCTTGTTTACCTTAAAGTGTCTTAGTATCTCTGATTGCTACATGTTATTGCTAGAAAAATACTGTTGCCTAACTGTCCTAACCACAGGACGCAACAAATGGTCTGTGTTATTACCTGCATAGTAGGAAATATCTGCTATTATTGGTATTATTGGTTCTGATGTGATTTTAGTGACTGTGACCCTTATTCTATGCAATACAAGTTGTAATTTCATTGTTTATTCATGCTTCTGAACGATCTATAAGTATTAAGGAGTAGTAGTTGGCAGTACATGGTGATTTATTCCTGGCATCCATTACTTTTCTTTTTGTTTATCACCCAAAATTTATTTGTGCTTAAGTTTGCTTCTGTAATTCAAGGTTAATGCGTTATAGCTCAATTTGATTGCTGTGCTGTCGTTTTGACATCAGGATGCTTGGATCCTGAGAACTTCAAGAAGTTCAAACTTGTTGAAAAGAAGCAGATAAGTCATAATGTTGCCAGGTTCAAATTCGCTCTTCCAACTCCAACTTCTGCATTGGGCCTTCCAATCGGTCAACATATCAGTTGCAGGTTTTGATTCCGCCCTTTCCCTAAATTTTGCTTTTACATAATTTCTTTTTAACTACATCTGTGTTCCCTTGTTTCTATGCAGAGGACAAGATGCTACAGGTGAAGAAGTAATCAAGCCTTATACCCCTACTACATTGGATTCTGATCTCGGATATTTCGAGCTTGTCATAAAGGTCAATATTTATATTAATTTCCTTGTTCAGATACCCTTTTGTGTGGGCATATTATTTGACAAACTTGGACAGTTACTTTTTGTGCTTTGCGCTCATATGTCGACTCACCAGTCCTTCAATCCTTTTGATAATGCAGATGTATCCTCAAGGGAGAATGTCCCATCATTTCCGCAAGATGAAAGTTGGTGATTATTTGTCCGTTAAGGGACCTAAGGTGATTATCATGTTGTGAGCTTCTGATGTAGTCAGCTTAGGTTTCTTTTGTGGTCACAAAAAAGCATTGGTTACTTTGAGCGCTGAGGTGAATTCAAATGGATTTTCCTCAAACCCTATGAAGCGCCTCAGAATTTCTGTACCATGCACATCTGCCTTCAGTTAGGAGGTTAATATGACTTCTTCTCTGATATAGGGCCGTTTCAAGTACCACGTTGGCCAAGTGAGGGCATTTGGAATGCTGGCTGGTGGATCAGGCATTACTCCAATGTTCCAAGTAGCAATGAATCCTGAGTTGTATATTGCAATAGATCATGCTACAAAACACTTCGTTTTCAAGTGATCAATGATCTTATTTTTGTTTCTGCTACCACAGGTTGCCAGAGCAATCCTTGAGAACCCTAATGACAACACCAAGGTTCACTTAGTTTATGCTAATGTCACATATGAAGACATTCTTCTGAAGGTAGATTTTTCATGTGTGATGGTTGTGATGCAGTCAATTTGAATAACATAATATATGGTATTTTTCTTGTTGACGTGGTGGTTATTGTTTCATCAACTGTGCCTTCCGTGGTGTATATGATTTAGCTGACTGTTGTGGACATGTTTACTATTCTATACGCACACTAATTTTTGTTGCTCATAAGAACCAGTGACATTCAGTTTAGTCCTGTTCTCTTTCTGCTCTACTTAGCATATTTTTTAGCATAATTTTAAGTTATTATCTAACTCAATTGTTGTGCACAAAATAGAAATGAGTTATACACCTGAATTTAGCAGCTGAAGCTTATCCTTTAACACATAGCTTTCTGAGAATTTTCTTCAGATATATGTTGAAGATTTTGTAGCCAATATAAAATGATATAATGGCACAGCAACATATGCTTAAGAAAATATTTCCATTGCCAGATAATGTTATACTGCTATAGGATAAGCCGTTGTTCCCTTTGTGTATTGTTTTCCTTACATTGTTGTTATGGATTCTTATCTTTAATCTGTCAGACTGATTTGCACATGCCCTCTTTATGATGGGCTGCCATACTGAATTTAATAATTTGTATTCAATTCAATTCATGCAGGATGAGCTGGACAACATGGCCAAAACCTATCCTGGTCGCTTTAAGATCTACTACGTGTTGAATAAGGTTTGTGTCACATTCTTTAGAAATTTTGAAGATATTACTGTATCAACATTCTTTATTTTGTGTGTAGGAATACATTAGTTTTTTTTTAATAAAAAGAACAGCGGGCTCCACTGTTTCAAACTCTCTATTTGTTTGAAGCTTTTAGAAATGACTGCAGAATTCCTGTTATAACTAAAACAATATCTGAATGTACTTCCTTGCTATGTTGTTCTCTATTTTCTGAAGTTATTATCCTGAGAAATGTGCTTTACATTTACTAATTAGCGCATTGTTTCTGAAGACATCTGACATATGCAGTGTTTTTACATATGCAGCCTCCTGAGAATTGGAACGGTGGTGTTGGGTTTGTGTCGAAGGAAATGATCCAATCTCATTGTCCAGCGCCTGCTGAGGACATTCAGGTGAATCTTGAGTCTTATTGTTTTTTTTTTTTCAGTTCACTATGAGGATTGATCGTGAATTCTCAATTCTTGTATCTAACCTGGACGCTTGCATGTGTTTACCTATTTCAGATCCTGAGATGTGGTCCTCCTCCGATGAACAAGGCCATGGCTGCACACCTTGACGAGCTCAGCTACACAAAGGAGATGCAGTTCCAGTTCTAAGCAACCCTAAGTTTGCAAAATAATAACTAGTGACCGGCATGGTTCTTCGGTCACAGGATTGCTGCCTGACTCTGCTCGTTAGCTGATATCAGGAATTCAGGATTACATGATGATTAGTCGTGCGCCAGCAATTTTTCCAATCTCTATTTTTGAGGTAAAATGATATCTACCTCAACAGAGATCCACATTGGCAGAGACAACATTGTTACTATTATTGATTTGTAATGTGCAACATTGGATGCTATAAAAAAATCTCACTATCGCCAGTTAGCAATGCAAAGAACCATTACAATTTTTCGAGTTTTAGAGAAACGCTATTATAATTCACCTATTCGAAAATCTGCCATTATAATATCACTTCTGGGTTCATTTAAATCCAAAAGTAAACATTTTGGTTATGCGATTACCTGAATTCGTGACGTGGATTGGGAATAGCTCTTCTTAACAGGAGTAAACATTTTGGTTATGCGGTTACCTAAAATCACTGAAGTAGCCGTTAGCAGGACAATTTTGAGACAGAGCTGACATTGTGAACAGTAATTTCCAAATTCTGGTAACGGGTCAATTCTCAAACGGATCCCGGAGGTCAGGCGCTTCAGAATCCACGACCCAGGTATCCAGCCAATGAGCTGTCCCCCGGTAGACCAGTCCAGGAGCTCGCGCGGAGCAGAAACTGGGCTGGAGGACCCGATCCGCAACCCAGTCCCTTCTCCCCTTATCCTGAAAACTACTCCCCTGTCCTCCTCCCTAAACCCCCCGGCAGCGGCAGCCGACAAACAAGCACACAGCACGAGCGAAGAGACGCGGCCATGGCGATGGCTCCGCCGCCCGCCTGCTCGCTCCTCCTCCGGGTCGCCGCCGCTGCGCCCAGTTCCGTCACGTCCAACTCCGTTTTGACCCAGCGCGGCCACGGTCTCCTCCCTTCCCCGCGTCCCGCTTCCGCTCGCCGCTACCTCACCGCGGCATGGTCATCGAAGGCCGCGGCCTCCGCTTCTGTCGAAATACAGGATGACTACGCGGATGAGATGGACGCGGTGAACATTGCGCAGGATGTCACCCAGGTGCACGGTCGCTTCCCATCCTTACCTTTCCCCCATGCTTTGTATAGTGATTTGGGTATGCGGAGCTGATGACTATATGCGTTCTAGTGTTTTCACCGATTATGACTCAGAATCGCTGAATTTCTTGGTAAAATAGGCCATTTTCTACTTTTCATTAGCTAGCAACTGTATAGGGGATAGTTGGCAAAAGTCCTTTTCTTTTTTTCGTTTCAGTATGCCCAGTTGCATCTCTGATGAAATATTTATGTCCTGTTAACAGCTAATTGGAAAAACACCAATGGTATATCTCAATAGTGTTGTTGACGGTTGTGTCGCTAATATTGCTGCAAAGCTAGAGTACATGGGACCTTGCCGAAGTGTCAAAGATAGGTACACTTTTGTGACTGGTGCATGATTTCATGCCCATATGCAATTACTTGTGTGTCAACTCATGCGTATGTTTACAGGATTGGATTAAGCATGATTAATGATGCTGAAGAGAAGGGTTTAATTTCTCCAGATAAGGTTATAGATCATTCTCATAGCATTAGCAATATTATCGTGACCAACATTGTAATATATGCAGATGGTTTCTACCTGTGCAGACCATTTTGGTAGAACCAACAACTGGAAATACTGGTGTAGCCATTGCTTCTGTGGCTGCAGCAAGAGGATACAAGTTGATAGCAACTATGCCTTCATCATTAGATGTCGAGAGACGCATTCTTCTGCGTGCATTTGGAGCAGAGATTGTGTTAACTGATCCTACCAAAGGACTAAAAGGAGCTTTTGATAAAGCTGAGGAAATAGTCTTGAGAACACCAAATGCGTATATGTTTCAGCAGTTCAACAATGAGGCAAATAGTGAGGTTGACATTCAAGCTTTACCTTTCACTCATATGATCTGTATTGCAGAAAATGTGAAATTCATTTGCTTTCTTTTTCTTTAAAGATCTATTGAGAAACCACTTGGGTAAATTACAGATCCACTTTAAAACCACAGGCCCAGAAATATGGGAGGACACGATGGGTTCTGTTGATATACTTGTTGCAAGCATAGGAACAGGCGGCACCATTACTGGCACTGGGCGTTACTTGAAAAGGATGAACAAAGATATTAAGGTTCCTACTTTTGCCTGGATTAATTCTTGAATGAATTTTGCATTAAAGGGATTCTCTTGTATTTTGTTAGCTAAATGATTATGTGTATCTTTTTCAATGCTGTTGTGCTTAGATCTTATTCCTTTTTTAAATGCTTAAAGCTTTCATATCAAAGTAAAGTTCGAGGCCTTGCTTGTGATAACCCTTAACCTTACTTCTTTAAGATACGCACAAATTAATTATTTTATGAGAACATAGAGACATTACTTTCAAACTAGTTTTAGCAAAAGGATAGCAGCGCCATCATTCTGTTGTTGGTTCATTTTTTCATTCTAAAGTTCAACTATCATAATTTCCATTTTGAGAATACCGTTGATTTCTGCAAGGCGGATGTCAATATGTATGAAATTTATCTGACCTAATTTTCCTGTCACTGTTTGGTTTCATTTGAATAATTTTCCTCCTATCATTTCAGGTTATTGGGGTAGAACCTGCTGAAACTAGTGTGATTTCTGGTGATAACCCTGGTAATGCATTAACTGCTTGCCCCCTTTGTAATAAGCAATTCAACATGCTAGGAAACAAAAGCTTGTTGAATATTTTTTTCCTTGCCACTGACATATACTGTTGGTTCATGCCAATAAACAACAGGTTACATTCCAAGTATATTAGATGTTCAGTTGATTGATGAGGTTGTGAAGGTCTGTAATGCTAACTTTAGAACCACTTTTATGTCAAGCAGATTTTGTTGGCCGTTTTAAACTTTTTGCAGTCTGATGAGTTAAGTGATTATGGTGTTGACTTTCCAGGTTAGCACAGCAGAAGCCGTTGATTCTGCAAGGGAACTTGCACTAAAAGAGGGCTTGCTGGTGAGTAGCGCACTGTAAAATGAATGGCTTTTGAGGTTTTTTAGTTATTACAATAGCATCTCCAATTTTGTTGCTATGTGATTTGTGATTCATTCACGGGTTTGTTTGCAGGTTGGTATTTCCTCTGGTGCTGCAGCAATTGCTGCTATCAATGTTGCCAAAAGACCTGAAAATGCCGGAAAGCTGATTGCGGTGCGAGCATCTTAATTTCGTTTATGACATTTTTCCATGATTCAGACAATTAACCAGTCATGTGGGTTTGCAGGTCATTTTCCCCAGCTTTGGAGAGAGATACATCTCTAGCATTCTATTCCGTCCGGTATATGACTCTGTTCGAAGAATGAGGAAGCGATAGTGAGCCTTGTACAACTTCAAGCGCATCGCCCGTCCCTTCTCTAGACCTGACAGGCTTCCATGACATGATAAACATGAAACAGTGATTGATTGCAACAAGCAGGGTCTGAAGTTTTGAAACGCTCCCAGCACTAATACTAGACCTTTGAAGCTGCACAGAATTCTGTCAAGTGAGCTGCAGGCCTGCAGCTTGGTTCTAGGAGTGCCTCATGTTTAGAACCAACTTGTACAATCCTGATGAAACATGCAGAATTGGGTGCCGCAGTTAGCTTAGACTCTTTCTTTCAGTACTCTAGGATCGGGTACAAACCGTTTGTAACCTGATACGCACTTGAGTCGATCTTAGCGTCCTACTATATGCAAATTCTTTTCCCCTTTTGAATTTTGATTGATTGTTTCATCTTTTATTTGGCATCTGCTTTACTAATTAGTTTTTGCGGAGCCTAACACTGAGGATCAACAATTTTCTTCTCTTTTTCGTCTCTGCAGAAGACCAAAGGTAGAGTTTGCAAGACATGGGGATCATGACTCAAGACAACCCTGTCGAACTAAAAATTGCAGCATCTTCAGGTTCCAAGCGGGAAGCTCTAGAACTGTCAGAGCTTCTCCAAAGTGGACCAACAATGCCAGTAAAAACTGATTTTGGTATTTAGAGCAAAACATCCTTCCAATAGCAGCCTTACTATTACTACCAACTTGTTTAACCATCGAAGGGTTAGTGACTGGACGTTCGGATGGGATGTCACGTCAACTCCTCCGCCCGCATCCCATCCCACATCCTGTTCAGCACCAGCGCCCGTGTTGTCGCAGGATGGGATGAAATATTTGAAACACGTGTGTATAGGCATAGCATCATATACAACATCTAGATCTACTTTTGTACTCCCTTCATCCCAAATTATAAGTCATTCCGAAAATCTTGAAGAGTCAAAGTTTTTTAAATTTGACCAAATTTATATAACAAAATAATAATATTTATCATACCAAGTAAGTATCATTAGATTCTTCATTAGTTATATTTTCATATTATACCTATTTGATGTCATTAATCTTTGTGTTTCTCTCTATAATTTTAGTCAAACTTGAAAAAGTTTGACTCTCCAAAATTCTTGGAATGACTTACAATTTGGGATGGAGGGAGTAATATCCAGATGAAACACTTACAACAAAAGTATGAAACATATGAAACAATCGAAACACACGCTTAAAACATGAGGGTAGAGCCGTAGCAACACATGCAACATCCGGATGGAACACTTGAAACATACGTCGGAAAACACTTGAAATATAGGCTTGAAACATGTGTATATTATCATTGCAACATACATAATATCCCATATCTACTTTTGCAACATCTAGATGAAATACTTGAAACATAAGTGTGAAATGCCTAAAACACTTGAAACACATCGTCGCCGGTAACTACGGCCTACCTGGTGGGGAACTGCGGTAGCTAGCAAACTCGGGTCAGAGGGACGTCGAGAGCTGCCTAGCGTACGCATGTAGGCCTCCCCTTCTTGCCGCGGTGTCTTCGGCCTCCCTTCTTGCACCCACGTTGGAGAAGGCCATGGCAGCCGGAGAAGGCGAGCGGCGCGGTGGATATGCCAGCGGCGGTCGCATGCGTCGGTAGGAAAAGGAAATGTTGTCTTTTCGAGAAATCGTGAAACACTTAAGGTGAGGGTGAAGCAGCTCTGTTGGGCCTAATTACTGCACCGGCCCGAGAACGGACCGTCCGGACGAATGCCCTCACAAGAGAATTTCTGTTTAACCATTGCCTAAAACAAACGTCAAATCTCCTCAAATTTGCGCTCTTTCTCCGGGCGCTCAAAAATAGATTTGGGACACTGGCGGAAAAACATTTTTCTAACAGCAGACTAAATCACCGTCCTAACCGGAGGTGATCGGAGAGGTCTCACGAGATGATTCGGTAACCCAATATATTTTTTGTAATTACCAAAAACTGTAACTTTTGGTCTATTTCTTTCTCTTGGAGATGCTCTAGTCGATGAGCTTGCGAAAACTCAAGTCAATACTCAGCACTGAGAGTGCTTTGTCAGTTTTTAAAATTTTGTTTTACAGATTTCGAATTTGCAAAGACATCGAAATATTTCCATTGACAAACTTTTAGCTCTCAAGTCTCAGGTCTCGCGAACCTGTCAACCGTCCAAACATGAGGTCGGGCTCAGTGCCTCAGTGGCCGGGACCAATTCGTACCTTGCTGTCCTGATTCCTCCTCGCCTCTGAGCCCTTCCTCCACATCCAAACGAGAGGAGAAGCGGCGGCCGGCGCAAGTTAACGGCGTAGCTCTCCCTCCCGCCCGCCGGGAACGACAGTACTCGTGCTCGTGCCGTGCGCCACCGACCCAGCCTAAGAGTAAGAGGACATGTCGGCGGCGGATCTTCCGGACGAGCTGTGGGCGCGCGTCCTGGAGCTGGGAGTCGCGTCGTCCGCGCTGGGGTTCCGCGACCTATGCTGCCTCGCCATCGCTTCCCGCCGCCTCGGACGCCTCTCCGTCCACCCCGCCGTCTGGTCGGAACTCCTCTCTCGCGACTTCCCCTCCCAATCCCAACCCTCCGCGTCCTCGGCCTCCACCTCCCAGCCGCAGCCGCAGCTCCACCCCAAATCCCTTTACAAGACCAAGTAATTCCCCCTTTCGCATCGATCGCTATTGTTGATATTGTGCGTGCAGGTTGCTTGACTGATGCATCTCTGCTGCAGGTTTGAGAGGCACAAGGTGCGGATGGCGGAGGCGAGGCGGCGGGCGGTGTTCGAGGCGGAGGCGCGGGTGCTGGCTTCCAGGAGGCGGCTGGCGGATCTGGAGGGGTCCATTCGGGCAGAGGGGGAGAGGATGAAGACGGCTGCGCAGGAGCTTGACAACCTCGAGAGGGTCAGGTCGGTTTGCTACATTTTTATGCCAAATCTCTCATGTTTCATCCGCTTGGCACTGTCTCTGTACTTTTCAAAGGCTTAATCAATCATCTGCGTCTCAAAGAAAAGAATGTATCAGATATTCGCACGGTAAATTTTAGTGTAACGCAGAAAGTAGAAACACCAATTTGCAGATCAGTTAGGAGTTATCAGAGCTAAAGTGCGTCTGTTCAACTGAAAAATGTGTGCAATTGCAATTCTCTCATAGTAGTACAGCGTCTTTCTGAGCACTCATCTAACTGGCAGTGCATGAGAAGAAAAAATTGCTTATGACTGTTTTTTACATGATATATTAAGCTGCTTGTTTACACAAGAGTCAGGCAAAGATTGTTCTTTCAAACCACATATATGGCTGGTTAGTCCAGTCAATGATCTGCCATTGTTTGTCCTCTCCAATTCTTCATCCAAACCAAGTCTCCTGTGTGTAACTCATTACAAAAAGGATATCCTACCAAGACAGTAGCTTCCTTGGTATGTTGAGCTGCTTGTTTACACGAGCTTGAGATTGCCTTTTCAGCCCACTGATTATAGCTATTAATGATTTTTTGTTTTTAGTTTTGTTTTGTCATGTTTATCGAAATTGAAGTCTCATGTATTTTATTCATGTCAAAAGCAATGTCTTGCAAAAGTATCATATTGCTCAAGACAGTTGCTTCTACGATATACGACCTGGTCGCATACACTGATACACAAATGTTAGGCCAGTCTTTCAGACCACATGTACAACTAGTTAGGCCATGTCAATGATTTGCTGCTATTTGTTCTGTCCGAATTGAAAGTCTCTTGTATGTTACAGTACTGAAGCAATGCCTTGCACAAAGTGTTCTGTAGCTAAGTTTTACTGCACGATCGTTTATTTGGTATAATTTTACTAAAGACAAGTGTATGTTCTGTTCTGGGCTCATGTTATTCCCTTAGTTCATATCTTTGACAGAAAACAGCTGTGCTTGGTATCTTTCGAATTGTAACAGTGAACCTCGGTTAGCTCATAGCCTCATATGTGTGGTTGATGGACAATCATCCTACCCATCAGGCAGAGAAAGCTATTATTGTCACTCTTTTGTTGAATTAGGCTAAAGAGATGACCATTTGTCCTTTTATCAAGGGAAGCGTTCTGAATAATAAAAAAAAGTCAGTGGAAGCATATTAATGGTGCACAGAAAGTGTCTAGGTTGTCTGCCAGCACCCAGTTTTGTTGTTGGCACACATGAACAAGAAAGCAAACTGAACAAAAAGGGTGCCGCTTATAAGAGGTAAAAGATGTCTAAAAACTAATGGGTTGAAACATCAGTGATGGATGTTTCATACTCCAGCACAGTTAAATTGGAAAATGATGGTTACAAACCTTGTCTCCAGCACCTCTACAACGAAATGAGCTCCGTTCTTGTTTCTGTTTTCTATTTGAATTAGCTAGAAGTTTGGCCATCCTCTGTTTTGGGGGGGGGCGGGATTTGAATTCGGGATTTGAATTACAATGGCATCTCTAGTTTTCTACCCTCCAACCAGTCTGAATCCTGTGGAGAGATGTTGTTTCATCGCCTAGCACTACACTGCTACGGTCCTGCCTTATAAAAGGGCAAACACAGTCCTGAAGCATGTCGTTAGAGACAATATATTGCTTGGTACAGGTACACTATCTTCAACCATTGATTTAGAATGGATTCCGCACCATTTCTTTCATTATTACTGTTATGATTGCATATTTCTTATCATTAGTGTATGTTGATTGTGCAATTTCTTACTCTCTGAAACGTATGCAGGAGAGCTTCTGTGGCATTAAACGTATGGCAACCACAAGTTGTTCGTGGGCGTCAGAAGCAGTTGGTTCAGCAATGCACAGTTCCTGTTGATTCTCGTCTTAGTGATCTAAACATGGAACTGAAAGTTTGTAAGCAACAAATAGCAACTTATAAGAATGCTTATGTATGTGATCACGGGTTTAACTACAATTGACAGAGAAGAAAAGGCTAGCCTTACTATAGTTGTGCTTTTGTTGTTGTCATCAGAACAAAGAGAAGCACAAGTTGAATGATTATGAGGAAGCATTGCAACGAGCAAAGTATCACCCACTGCAGGATAGTCATGCAAGTGGAATTGTCAATGAGCCACGTGCAAAGAGGAAGAAACTGAAATAAGCCTACGGTTTGCCTTCAAGTTCTCAAGGGACTCAAGGTATTCTAGATTGATTGAATATACTTGACACATTTGCTTTCACAATAGAGTAACTGTGCCTGGGGGAGACTTATATTTTGCTATGTTTTTTTTTTGTATATGCATGTCCACGTATTTAGTTGATTATTTGCATCAGCAAATATTGTTATTGTCAGAATATATAACTGGTAATGTACTAACGTGGACTATATTTCTTACATGGGAATTTGATGCGCATTGTCTACTCATTTACTTTTTTGTTTTTTCACAGATAGCAACACCTGCATTGCACCAAGCGCAGGTGCACTGTTTCACAGATTGGACAGCACTGCGAGCCACCTTCATCCTTAGGCAGTTCAGCTCCCTGTCCATGCGTGCACATGATGTAGGCTATTATGCTGGCATGTGCAGTTCTTCTTTGCCATTTTGCCAGGCACGAAGGTGCTATTATGATATGATCAGGAAGTACCCTGGTGTTTCCATATATTGCTGAAGGAATCTCTGTCCACGGATGTTGTACACCCTCCACCGGCCAGATAATTCCACAGCAGAAAGGTGCCGACTATTCTATCGTGGAATTGTCTGGCGTATGCTTATCCTTCACGAAGCTGTGGGCTAGAGGCTAGAGCTGAAGCTTGCCAGATTTGACTTTGAAAACTACTAGTAGTAACTTGTACGCAACTACGTACGTATCTTGTATTTGTATATCATCATCCTTATAAAGGCACTTAACTATTTTCGTTCCTTGAAATCAAAAGAAACTTACCCGTGTCTGGCTTGATATGCTCTTCTGCTTATTATTGGTGAGTGAATTGTTTGTTTCTATCCTCCCGTATCTTTCACGCATCACCGAATCTGTGCAAAACGTCGAAGTCTGGTGTTAAGCATAGTGACAGAATCGGCAAAATAGATATGTACATCTCAGCGTCTGTTCGTGTTTTTCTTGTTTTCTCAATAGTTTCACGGTGAAATGAAGGGGAATTCCCGGCCCCCATCAAGAAAGAAAAATGTATTACAATCTTTGTTCGAACTCAAGTCGTGCAGAGTTATTGGGTACGAATGGCCAGTGCTGTTACGGATCAGGGCGGGAAAAAGATTCTGAAGAAAAGAACAGCGGTGTCCATGCTAGTTGCATTGCAGCTCAGCATCAGTTTTGTACTTTTGTTCGCTTGAACCAGGAGTTCAGGACTCGGAGAACCACTCCCGGCACCTCTCTCCCAAGTCCGACGTGGCAAAGCCTTCCGTGCCGCACCCTCCCGCCAGCCGCGGGCGCCTTTGACCGGTTGACCCAAACGTATCTCTTGCCGCCGAGGGCCACGCGGAGTGGCCCTACCTGTCATCCAGACGCCGCCAATAACTTTTTAGAAAAAAGAATCCGAACCCCGCTATAAAACCACCCCCGTTTGCCCGTTTCCTGGTCCCAGTACCGTCTCACCGCGTGCTCGGACCCAACAATCGGGACCCACATGTCAGGAGCCAAAAATAGAAGTATAAGATACACCCCAAAGCGGCCTCTCGCCGCACCAACAGCCAATCCGCACCTCGCGTTGTCCTCGCCGCGCGGCCTCGCCCTGATCCGGTTCCCCCAATCCTTCGCCTTTGTCGTCGTATCCTCCGGAGCCAAATTGAGCCAAGCGAAGCCGGGTTCACCTGGTTGGAGCAACCCTGACGAAAGGACTCACGGACATGGGCCTTCCGGCTTTCACAGTCTTGTGTCCATATGATCCGGTCCATGCGCGGAGCGTTGTAGCCGGATTCTCTCGCCGTCGCCTCCTCCCCTTCCCGCCGCCGCCGCCGCCGTTTGTGGTCGCCGGGATCAGCCGAGTTGGATCTCGAGGCATAAAGCGTTGCGGGCGCCCGGCGAGGATACGATGCCTGCGGTGCTCGCCGCATTCGCTACCCTCCGAGCGGTCGCTGCCATCGCCTCCGGGGACGCCTCCTTCCCCTGTTCCCATCGCCTCAAGCATCGTTTTAGTAGTAATTTTAGTAGTAGTAGTAGTAATTGTCTTTGACCTGTGCGTTCCCTCCGTCGCCCTCGCCCCTCGGTCCTTACCTTCGCGTCCCGGTTTCGATCTGGTTGTGCTCGGTCCGAGGCTTCCTTTGGCTTTGCGGCTTCTCTCGTTGTCAGAGTTTGGTGTCTGGATTCGATCTGCAGGATCGAAAGGAAGCAAGCAAGGTGTTGGACGGGGTCATTACCACCTACAAGATAAGAGGTATCGAAATCACTCTGCTGTTGCCATGGAACCATTTACATTTTTATTAGGTTACAATCATGGAAACGGGTTCCGAATTTTGATGTTTAGAGCATAATGTGCGATCCTGTCAGTACGTAAATTGTTATATCACTTTTGCCTAGGTCTTTCATTAAACAAAATAAGAAATAGTTCGGCTATTTTTTTTACAAGTGTTTGAAACCAGGTTATTTTTCTCTGTCTATCCTTGTTCCTCGGATCAACATCCAACTACTTACTGTTTTAGGTGTTCAACATCCAACTACTTACTGTTTTAGGTGTTCTAGGTTGTTTGTGTTGAACCGAGGGCGTAGAGTGCTGCTTGATTCCAAGCATTTTAAAAATAGTCATGCCCAAAAATATATGACAAGAAAATACCTTTTTATGAATCTCATCATCTTCCGGTAGCTGTGCCCCTAGGTTGAAAAACTAATATACTTGAAGGTTCAAACATCAGTAAAATATGTTAATGCATATGGTTGCAAGATCATCTATTTCTACACTATAGTTTTCATAACTCTATCCAGTAACTGTGCGAGAGCCCTTATGCAACCCTTATATTTGCATATAAATTGCTTCTTGCTTATGCCCATTCCTCTTTTTAACAGAAACTTCTCTTTGTAATTTGGGATCAAGCTTGTGGATGGGCGAACCCTCGGCAGACTTCAGTGCGGAAGGTGTTAGCAGCAGCTCAGGTCTCTGCCACAGCACCTGTTTAAGGCCTGGTTGTGAGCATGGTTGTGCTTGCTGGGAAGATGAATATGTCGAAGCTGTAATATCTTGTGGACAAGATGATTTGGTGGTTGAGGAAATTGGAATGGCTCTTACTGAAGTGATGCATATCCTTGATGATGACGAAGGGCAAGGTCTGGATGAAGATTCTGACGATGACGCGAGCGATGATCCAATTCTTTCTCTGGAATCTGATTCAACTGATGATTTAGTGGACGTTGACTCTGTATCACCTGCTTTTCCTAGTGGCGATGCAACGGAATCATCACTTAGCAATTCAATTGCTGGGAATTCTTCAATTAATGTAGGTTTCTAATTTACTTTAAACTTTAAAGTTGGATTCTTTCATTCTATGCATATATTTGTGGTCAGATATTTGCTCCACACTCATATTATTCTGATACCTAGTTACTGGTAGCTATGTGACTCTATTTTCAATCACAATAGCTTTCACAATAATTAGGGACTTAATCATAGATGCTGATTTTGTATAGTTGTTGTCTGTGTTTTAGCACCTTTGATAACTGAAGGACACTTGAAATTTGATTCCTTTTATTTGTCCTGTTTAGCTGAATATCTTTTTGGACCAATTAATGGCGTGATTCTTTTTTTTTTTGAAGCTTAATGTTTTTGGGAGTTGATGGCTTTTGGTATTGTTCTTTCTTATTGCAATTATGATTTCTTAGTTCATTATAGCTGGCAGCCTTATTGGTCCTTGTTTATTTGAATGTGTAACAAGTGTAGCATCTCATTGGGTGGTTACTTCCATATTGTATATGCTGATTATGTAAAAGAATGTATGGGCCAATTTTGTTTTGCTAACATGTATATAAATTATCTCCATGCAGGACACTCCAAGGTTAGTTTCTGCAATGAAAGGAACCCGTGCGAAGGAGGGAATCATGATAAAGTTGAGCATTTCTTGGGACCCTGATGTATATGACCCTCCTGTTACTTCTAACTCTCACACTGTGAGAGGGCACCATAGAAGTTCAACAAAGGGCAACTACAAATACAAGTCCTCCAAGAGCAGCAGCAGCAGCAGCCGCAGTAGTACCACTGGGAGCAAAAAGGACAAGAAGCATTCTAGGCACAGTAGCAGTAGTGGTGGAGGCAGCAAAAGGGACAGGAAGCATTCTTACCGCAGTACCAGCAGTGCCAGCAGCAGCAGAACTATTACCAGTGGTTCTCTATATGGTAACGCATACAGTGGTGGTGGGGTCAACAGCAGCAGAACTATGACGTGTTCCTGAAAGTGCCAAGGTATCTCCATTGGCGGTAGCTGAAAATGCTGCACCGCAAGAGACGGTTCCTGTACTCAAGACAATGGAACCAATCAAATGTGCTACCAGCTGCGGCAAAGAGAAGCCATTTGCCTTGCTGTCACGCCAGTTTTCTCCTGCAAGGTACAAGGGAATGTTTTCCTTTTTGGAGCCAAAACCAACTGGCTTCTTGATAATCTGCTCTACGGAAGCTCACCTGGAAGTCTTCGTTGCTAATGCTAATTAAGTTGTATCCGTGATTGTTTGGTATCATTCCCTTCGTTACCATGTTCGTTTCGCCTGTGTGAAACTTCAGAGATCACGTTTTCGAAAATTGCCCGGCAGAGTGCCTTGTATATTTGAGTTTCTGTTATTATTATTTCCTCACTGAATCGTGTAATTCTTTTATCTATTTCATGTGTTTGGTATTCTTCCATTTGGGATCGTGTTGTATTATTTGCACATTTACTTCTACATTGTTCGGACTGGTTCAGTCTTCTGTGTTTTGGTTATGTTGGAATTTCAGCGATTTAAGTTAAATGGCGAGGACGGGGTATTCATCACCTGGTGCCCAGGATATCATACCCCCTACATGACAAATTATAAAACATTTTGGCTCTTCTATATTCAATAGCTTTTGCTATGCACTGTGTTCTAAATATATAGCAAAAGCAATTGTGCAATTATGCCTAAAAAAGACAAACGTCTTATAATTTGGAATGGAGGAAGTAATCGTAAACGGTACATTTTGCCTCTGTTGCAACAATTTTTTTTATCAAGCGTTGCAAATTTTATGTTGACTTATATAGTACTATATACGTCTATACTAAGCGTTGCAAATGTTATGTTTATTTAGGACTACATGTACTCGGAGAAACTCTATTGTAATGTTGATAAGCAGATTTTTCAGTTTATAAGATCCATGTCCCCGTCTCAGCCTTTTCGTAAACGTGCCTGGGGCACGTATTGCACTTTTACTCTGCTCATTCAATGTTCATCCATCCTAATCCAATTCAACGGCAATGATCCTCTGCCTGCGGAGTGGCTGAAATTTTCCGCAGGTTGTCGATTTATTCCGACATATTTGTTTGGAATTTTCGGGAAAACATGCATTGAACAGCATGACAGTATTTGTAATTTGCTCAAACCTCGCTTCTTCAAAAATTCGCCCATTGCGGTGAAGTTGAGGAAGGTAACAAGAGCGCAGTTAGCCGAACATGAAAATACTCTAAAAGCTTCCGCACAAGCTTAGAAAACAAACCAGTCCACCACATCCATACTAAAAATATTATCGCCAAGGTCGACGCCACAGTCGGGGAGCGGAGCTTCGGCCGGTGCTGGTTGCTGATTGCCATGTGACGCGGCGCCACCGCCAGACGGTCCTGGCTGCTGTTGGCCTGCCTGTGTCCCGGCGCCTCCACCGCCTGCCTGCTGCTGCTCTGGGAGATGCTTCTCGTATGGCTCGCCGCCGCCTCCGTCAGGTGTCGGTTGCTCCTCCTCGTCGCCCTCCACACTCAGCGACCTGTTTGTAATCTTGCACAGCACGAAGTCGTTCAACTAGGCGGCGCAAGACAAGTCAAAAACATGTCAGCAATACGTATTACAGTTGTGGCATCTGGCATGATCGAACATGGGGTCGAGCGCGGTATCGTTGCCGGGGGCCCTGCAGGAGTTGCTGCAGACGAACTCCACCATCTTCCACTTGGAGGGCTTCGACGCCGACTTTTTCTTCGCCCGCCCCTTCACCTCCCATGGCTGCCCACCTCGAAGGTGTCCTCGTGGAACGTGAGCGCGCGACGTGTCCCTATCACCTCCTTGCCGTCGGTGCCGCCGAGGACCGGCTTCTCAGCTCCCGTCACCTTCCAGTGGCCCTCGTCGTCGCCCATGGCACGCTTCGGCCGCATCCCGCCGGCGTACTTGCGCTGCCGTTGCGAGAACAGGTACCAGGAGCCCTCGATGCCCTCACCCAGCTTCGGCATGTTAGATTGATCTCCTAACCACGGCTTATTGGGCCTTGGTCATGCGTCCTGATCGGGGGCGCCCAACCCTACATGGTTGGTGGGCCCCGTCGCTGCTCTGTATATATAAAGAGGTGGGGGCGGCGGCTCAAAGCACGAGGTTCGCCGTGAGCCGCAAACCCCACCGACAAACCCTAAACCGATCTCGAGAGGGCGCTACGACAATGACGACGAAGTCTCATTGATCCTCGCGTCGTCGCCATTCTACGCCCGACAGCCTTCACCGTGATCGACGTCCGTGTGTAACCTCTACTCCACCCGTCATCCGCGTGTCTTGCAGCCTCCATCACCGAACCCGCGATGGCTAGCACAACCGCGACATCATCTGGAGGCTCGGGTTCATCACCACCCCTCTCTCCCCCTATCCCCTCTCGGTGTGGCGTGTCTTTGGGCAGGCGAAATGGTCAAATGAATGATATTGTCACGCTTTTGTTTTTCTTATTTTCCGAAAGCAACAGTTTGATCAATTTGAATTGATTATTTTATGATAATTTACACTGTACAAAATTTATCCAACGATATTTTTTGTTCAAGAAATAGTAAATTTGCTTCGGAAAATAGGAAAAAGGTTATTAAATGTTAAAGTTTTCCATTTACGTATTTAAAGATGTAATTTTCATTATTAAATTCGAACCAACGGGAGAATTTAATTTTGAAAATGGATATGTTTTAAATTGATTATAATGTTGTTGTTATTACGATAACGTTGATTAATGACAATATTATAATGTTTTTTTTGTTATACATTAATTCTATTTCGCCTAACGCGGTGATGTAGAATTAGTGTAGAAAATAATTGTATGTTTTAATTTTGACCAACGTTAAACTAAGGCATGCAATTATTGTTGTTATTCTGTTCTCACCCTATTTGAATTATGTTTTGGGGAGGATACAACTTGATGAGTTGTATCAAAGAAATCCCCACTCTAAAAGGTGATAACTATATTGAGTGGAAGAAAAAGATAGACTGCCTTTATCCTCATTTTGAGGTGGACTGGTTGTCACCACACCGTGCCCTAAAGAACTCGAGGCACCGGTAAGGGAAAACAGATGAGAGCCCGATACTATATGGCGAGCAGAGGCGGGATTTTGCTCCTATAAAGATGTCCTATGACCTTGAGCATAGGAAATGGGTCACTTTGCCAACAAGAAGTGTCTGGCAGCGTCGATAAAAGAACACATTGAGCCTGCTATAGTGGGCTCAATTTCGACTGTGACTGACACGTCACGAGTACCTAAACAGAATAAAGAGTCAGTTCACCATTACCTCTTCAAAGACATATGCAACCCAGCTTGATCAAGCATTGATTCTGAGAAAAAAATACTGTGGTGGCGGCGGTGGCATTAGAGAGCACATCATGAGAATGAGCAATCGGCATCTAAGCTCAAACCAATGGATTTGGCACTCAAGGATGAGTTTCTTATTCATTTGATTTTTGCTTCTTTGCCCAAAGAATTTGACACCTTTGTTGTTAATTACAACATACACTGAAAAATGGGATTTAGAAAAGCTCATAGCCATGTGTGTGCGGGAGGAGGAAAGAATAAAAGTTTCACAAGGTAGTTCATCAACTACCTAAAAGATAAGAAAAAGAACTACTCTTCCTCCAAGTCATCTGAAAAGGTCCTATGCAACAGTCTCGAACCAAAGAATTCCCGGTGGCTAAAGATCGGTGTCTCCACTTGCAAGAAGGCGGGACATTATAAAAAGAACTGTCATGATTTCCTAAAGATGATAATGAAGAATAAAGGTGAGAACATTATTACGTTTGTAAATGAATCCTTGTATGTAAAGTTTTCAAAATCTACTTGGTGGATTGATTCATAGTGCAACTATTTATGTTGCTAATTCATTACGAGGATTCCGTTCGATGAGAACTTTGCAAAAGAAGCGAAAGTTTCATTAAAGTCGCAAAATGGTACAAGCGAAGTTGAGGCCGTTGGAGATCTTCCTCTAGAGCTTCCAGATGGCTTTATACTTTTTTCTTAGAGATGTTCTTTATGTACCTTCTTTTTGCAAAGAAACTGATTAGTGTATCAAAGTTGGACCATGATGGTTATGATTGCCATTTTGGAAATGGCAAATGTCAGATATTGTTTAATAATAAATGTGTTGGTCTTGCCTTCCGACAAGACGAGCTTTATTTGTTATCACTTCGTTGAAAATGTGAATTCCGTATGTGATGTGAATGAAAATGTATCCTCATCGAACAATGGAAATGAAAAGCGAAAGAGAGCTCACGATGCGTTGTCGAAATTATGGCACTTTGTCGTTTTAGGCCATATTTGAGGGGAGAATAGAAAGACTAGTTAAGAATAATATTCTTCCTTCATTAGAGCTCTCGAGTTAGAACAATGTAGAGATTGCATAAAAGGAAAGTATGTAAAGAAAATTAAGAAAGATGCCAAACGAAGCGCGAAATTCTGATTATTCACACGGACATATGTGGTCCTTTTCACTGTGAAAAGTGTGGATGGTTATGATTCATTCATAACATTTCAGAGCGATTACTCTCGGTTTGGCTACATTTATCCAATTAAAGAAAGAATGTAAGCGTTGGATAAATTCAAAATATTTAAAGCGAAGTTGAAAATCAGCATGATTTAAAGATTAAGATAGTCAGTCTGACATAGTGGAGGAGAGTACTACTTACGGTGGCATACCCCATATGGACAAGTTCTGGACCATTCGCAAGGGTTCTTACAGAGAATGGTATAGTTGCCCGATATTCAACACCCAAGCGAACCTCGTGAGAATGGAGTAGGCGAAAAGGCGAACTATTACCACGATGGATATGGTGCGTAGTATGATAAGTTACTCCACTTTACCGATGAGTCTATGGATGGGGCGTTAAAACCGCCATTCATATTCTCAATAGAGTACCAAGTAAGTCGGTGCCCAAAACACCGTATGAGTTGTGGATGGGAAGAGTACCCTCACTTAACCACTTGCGTGTGTGGGGGAGCCTGCTTTGAGGCTAAAGTTTTTAACCCAAACATTGGGAAGCTAGATCCCAAAATGTTGAGTTGCCATTTCATTGGCTACCCGAAAAAGTCAAAAGGTTTTCGTTTCTCTTGTCCCTAACAGAGATATACAAAATTTGTGGAAACGAGACACTCCTGTCTTCCTAGAAGATGAAATGATTAGGGGAGCCCGGTAGCTCGAGAAATTGACTTTGAAGAGAAGCGGTGTATGCACCCACTCCGATCATTCATGAGCCATTTTCTCTCACTATCTGCACATTGCTACATCGACAATTACAAGACAACACTGTGGTGCCAAAGGCACTGTTGTTATCCCGCCTGTGGCAACAATGAATGATGATGAGGAACACAGCCTCGGGATCCTATAGAACCTATTGCCACACATGAAGGGGAGCAACAACAGCCTCAAACAGAAAATGTGCCAATTGAGGAGGCCCCTAGAAGGTCTCAAAGAGTTAGAAAATCAGCTATTCCTGCTGATTATGAAGTGTACAACACTAAAAAATTTCAAATGGGGGATGATCCCACCTCATTTGAAGAAGCCATGAAAAGTGATCATTCATCAAAGTGGCTTGAGGCCATGGAAGATGAGATGAGATCAATGAATGCAAATAAAGTTTGGGATTTGGAGATAATTCCTAAAGGAGCCAAAACAGTAGGCTGTAAATGGGTCTACAAAACAAAACTTGACTCTCAAGGGAATATAGAAAGATATAAAGCCCGACTTATGGCAAAAGGCTTTACACAAAGAGAAGGGATTGATTACAATGAGACTTTTTCTCCAGTCTCGTGTAAGGATTCCTTCAGAATCATAATGACATTAGTGGCACATTACGATTTGGAATTACATCAGATGGATGTAAAGACGGCATTTCTCAACGGAGACTTAGAGGAAAATGTTTACATGGCACAACCGAAAGGTTTTGTCATGGAGGGAAAAGAACGTTTGGGATGCCGCCTAAAGAAATCTATTTATGGATTAAAACAAGCTTCAAGATGGTACTTGAAGTTTGATCGGAACAATAAAAAGAATTTTAGGTTTAAAGATAATGTTGAGGACAATTGTGTCTCACAAAGTTTAAGAATGGGAAGTTTATCTTCCTTGTCTCCGTGTATGTGGATGATATCTTACTTGCTAGTAGTGATGTCAGGTCTACTACTTGGAAACAAAGAAGTTTTATCCTCAAAATTTGATATGAAAGATCTTGGTGAAGCTTCGTTCGTTCTAGGGATCGAGATTCACCGAGATAGAAAGTAAAGGGTATTAGGACTGTCACAAAAGGCATACATAGAAAAAGTCTTAAAGAAATTCAAGTATGCACAAATGTAGTCCCTCACCGCTCCTATAGTCAAGGGCGGCGGACGATATATGGGGATTTTCAATGCCCGGGAACCAATATGAGATCGATCAAATGAAAGTGGTTCCATATGCTTCAAACGTCGGAAGCTTGCAATATGCTCAAGTGTGTACGCGGCACCGACTTGGCATTTGTTACCAAGATTTGGCGATTCGAGCAATCTCGAATAGAACACTCGAAATTGGTAAAGAAAGTCTTGCGTTATTTGCAAGGAACGAAAGGCCTCATGATGACATATAGAAGATCTGATTCACTCCATATAGTGGGATATTCAGATTACGATTATGCGGAGAGATAATAGATAATCCACGTGCCTGGATATGTGTTCACTCTCGCGGGGAGCTATTTCATGGAAAAGCTCAAAGCAAACCGTCACTACATCGCCCACCACAATGTATGCGAGTTTGTAGCGTATTCTACGAACAACAGGCGGTGAACTGGCTAAAGAAGTTCATACCCGATTTGAAGGTGGTTGCGACATCAATAGACCACTTGAAGTTATATTGCGATAATAATCCAGCGATGCGGTATGCTCACAACAATAGGTCAAGTGGTGCTTGCCAAACACATTGACATAAAGTATTATGTTGTGAAGGATAAAACAAGTCCGGGATCAAATGATAAGTCTTGAGCATATAAGTACCGAAAAGATGCTCATGGATCCGCTACAAAAGGCTTACCACCCAACGTGTTCGAGAGAACATGTAGCCGGCATGGGTTTAAGGGAAAGCCTATGATTCTGGGACTATAAAGGGCCCAAAAGTTAAAGTAACTATTTCGGATCGTGAGGCGTGCATTGTAGTCATTAAATCTATCGGCGATTGACCGTGCTGCGATGAGACATGCTCTATGCATCATCTGTGAAGAAATGAGTAAGGATAAAAGGATTGAAGTTTAAAGTTTAAAGATAAAAGTAATGGTGAGATCAAGGGGAGAATGTTAGATTGATCTCTAACCAATAAGCCCAACGGCTTATTGGGCCTTGATCACGCAGCATAAATCGGGGCGCCCAACCCTACATGGTTGGTGGGCCCCGTCGCCTTCTGGCTATATATAAAGAGGTGGGGGCGTTGCCGGCTCAAAGCACGAGGTTCGCCGTGAGCCGCAAACCCCACCGACAAAACCCTAACCGATCTCGAGGGGGCGCGCCCGCTGACGGAAGCTCCGCCGATCCTCGTCGTCGCCATCACTACCTCGAAGGTGTCCGCGTGAACGTCGACGTCCGTGCAACCTCTACTCCACCCGTCGCCGCCGGTGCTGCCTCCATCACCGAACCCGCGATGGCTAGCACAACCGCGACATCATCCAGGAGGCTCGTCGTTCATCACCAGCCCTCTCTCCCCTATCTCCCTCTCGGTGTAATGTTCTAGGTCTAAATATGTATATGTTTCATGGATCTATGAGTTCATCCGCCTAGATCTACTCTAGTCGATCCAAAGAATGTTAACACGGCACTGTAAGAGAGAAGACGAAGGTGATTGAGAGCCAGAAGAGACGGCCTAAAAAGATTGGCTGCGTCAAGCCGTGTCGGCGACGACTCACCCGGCTTCTTGGGATGCTCGGCATAGGCGTCGTGGCCGTAGTGCATGACGCCGGTGGGGAGCGACTCGCCGCGCAGTTTCCGCCCGAGGTAGTCGACGATGAGCTCCTGGTCCGTCGGGACGAACCGGACGCCGGGGGCGCTCAGGTAATCCTCATTGTAAGCAGCAGCCGCGACGCCGGGGACGCCCAGGTAATCCTCATTATAATAAGCAGCCGCGACGCCGGGGACGCCCGGGTAATCCTCATTGTAATAAGCAGCCGCGACGCCGGGCGTCCACGACGTAGATTCAGACATCTATCGTTGTCGGTTTTCTCAAGACGGATGGTGCCTTGCTTTGGTCCGGATTTGACGTACTGTATGTACATTATACTCCTGTATATATGTGTCCGAGTTCGAGTACACACCACGAGGCGCATGTGCATAATGTGTGCCCGTGCCCGAGCACATCACGACGACGTACTTGAATCCAACTCTACTACATCTCATAAATATGAAAGTTTTACTTTGGAGGACTGCTGAGAAGAAAAAGTGAACTATCTCCTCAAATACGACAGTTTCATGGAGATAAGGGGTGGGATCGAGGGATTGCTGGAGATGCTCTAAGTTCATTCATTAGAAAATACTCATTCGTTCCAAAATTTAAGTCTTTTTAGTTTTGTCTTCAAACTCCTCTAACCATGCACTTCCGAGACATTTCATGGTGGATTTAATTTGATGAAATCTTCTCGAAGTTATAGTTACTTGCACACTTTTTTATAAATTTAATCAAAGCTAGAGAAAATTAATTAGCTAGAACAACTTACATTTTAGAGATTCTAGTTTTTTCTGGGCCATATGTCTCTTTTGTAACCATATGTCTCTTTTGTAATAATCCTATGAAAGCTCAATATATGTTGGATTACTACACTGGGAATTTCTAAAGCAAAATACTCTACAAGCATGCTCGTATGTTGCAATATATGTTTTTGCACGGTCACCTTACGACTCATAGATATGTATAACAGTCACTTAGCTCTTTAATACTAGGTATATGGATTAAATAGTGCAAAGTTTCTTTGTTTTTTTCACTCGCAACCGTCTTATGGGATCCGAAGGACCCAATTCTTTCTCGTATCCGTTTGAGTTAGAGTAGCATTATCCGCACAATATAATCTGATTTCAAAACGAATTGGAATACGAGCATTTTCATGGTCCGTCACTCTCATAGCCATATAAGTTAGACCAGAGTGTTCATACATGGTGCAGAATCCAATCCCAAAATGAATTGAAACGTATGACACGATCACTGATAAATCTCTAAAGCTGATATAACCATAGAGTTAGAGCAGCACTCGTCTAGGTACGATATGGAGTTTGATTCCTAGACGAATTGAAACGGACGACGCAATTAGTGAATAAATCTCCGAGCCGTAAACCATCTAGGTAACCATAGAACAACTTGGACGACATTCCATTGCAACACACATATATGTTTGCTAGTATATTAATAAGGGGAAAAAAAGAATCACCAAAAGTCCTTACAAGAACAACTTCCTCCCATAAATTTGTGGAAACGGACACGATCCCTAACGATGATTTCTCGGTTGTATGACTTGCTTATTATTTTTGCCACTTCATGACAATCAAGGCAAAATCTCAAGTTCTTTACCACCCGAATGACATGAGGGGCTTTTGTCTTTAGCAATCCATATGCGATGGCTAGCCTTTCACTATGTTCACAAAGAGCAACTTCCTTTTCCTCTTCACCAACGACATGCAGAACCGCTGCAGTCCAAGGTTTGTGGCCAGCTCGTTGCACCCGGTCCGCTATTTCTCTCAGGACCAGTCTTATCTCCTTGATTTCAGGGTGTGAATCATCACTGACCACAAACTCATGCAAGTAGCCGTTTATTTCAATTGAACTGCATCCAGCAACAGCAGTAACATTGCTATCTTTCACCTTCTTCCTCAAATAGCTCACTGTGTCCCACTGGGAATTCGATGCGTACAAGTTGGAGAGCAGAACGTGGTTCTCAGGATTGTGAGGTTCTAACTCAAGGAGCCTCTTTGATGCTGATTCCGCTATGTCAATCCTGTTCGAGCTTTTACAGGCCACAAGAAGAGTCCTCCAGATTATTGAATTTGGTGAGACAGGCATACCAATAACAAAGGAGTAAGCATCATCTAGAAGGCCAGATCGACACAGGAGATCAATCATGCAGCCATAATTCTCCATTGAAGGTTTAATTCCCAAATTTTGCATAGTAGACCAATACCGTCACCCATCATTCACTAACCCACTATGAGCACAGGCTGACAGCACACCGATAAAGGTGACATTGTTAGGCCTCACCTAGAATATTGCAATACAGACAAGAACTTAGGTAAGACATGAGAATTGTAATGTCCACCTTGAGGTTTGTGAAGGCAATATATGAAATCCTAGTAATGATTGGAAACTAGGTTGAATATGTGAACTATCAGTGCTTTCTTTGGAGAAGTTGAGCATGTAAGCTACAAAATAAAACATACTTCAGTATAAACTAGATTCTATTGCGGGCCAATTGTATTGAACTACATATACAAGTCAATGCGTATGACTCTGATCAGCAAGTGCCCAACCAATCTCTAGATACATATCAGTGCAGCATTCTTACCTTAAGCTCTAGCATTCTTGAGAAAAGTCCCAACGCATCCTCTACGAGCCCATGAATTGCAAATCCAACTATCATTGCCCCTGGCGGAGCGCCTGCGCGTGCAGCTGCCGCCCCTCGCTGGGAGCCGGCACGGCCGCGCACGCCTTGAGCGCGAACGCGAACGCGAGCGTGAAGGTGTTGGGACGCGGGGACCCAGCGCGCAGCATGCGGCGGTAGACGGCCAGCGCGGGGGCGGGGCCCGCGGCGGGGAGCGCGCGGATGAGGGAGTTGTAGCAGAAGGCGGTCGGGTCGGGGATTTGGTCGAACAGGCTGCGGGCGTAGAAGGACGCCGCGGCGGCGGGCGCCGACGCGCAGGAGGCGAGGAGCTTGGAGAGCGCGAAGGCGGCGGTGAGGCGCGGGAGGCGGAGCCGAGTGAGGTGCGCGTGCGCGCTGCGGAGCGCGAGGAGGCCCCGGCATCCGCGGAGCAGCGAGAAGATGTGGGCCTCGAGGGCCTCGCGCGGGAGTGCGGCGGCTTCCTTCGGTTTGAGCAGGCGCATGCGAGGCGTTCTTTCTGCGGGGCCCGGCGCTCGGGACGTAGCCGCGTAGGCTAGGTTGGTTCGTGTGACACTGCACCAGACAAGCTTTTGTTTCGTCTGCAGCCATTTGGCTTCAGGTCAAAAAGGAGACGAATTCAGGAGGAACTCGGATGTTCTAGAGATACTGAGGCTCACAATGTTTTCGAGGATTTGTAGAAGAGCTGGAAGAAAAATCCGTGAGAAAATACTTGATCATGAGTAAGAATTTGCCTTGTTTAACATTGTGAATATATGTTCCTTTTCAACATATTTTTCCTACTAATTTATGCACTGTTGGTTTCAGTAAGGTGATATGGCTTGGTGAACTGAACTACCGTATTGCACTGAGCTATGCTGATACCAAGAAGCTTTTAATGGAAAATGACTGGGATGCTCTTTTTGAAAAGGATCAGGTAACTTGTCTGTCTCATCAGAACATGCCTGTGCTTGGAGGGTGGGGTAGAGGAATCTGTAGGACTGCTTTGGGTCTACATCTGCTTCTTTAGTGAACGCCAGAGTTCAAGGGTAATCTTTGTTTTAGGAAAAATAACTCATCGGAGGAATGGAGCCAGTTCTAAATATGCATCATTTAAAGAATTAAGTTAATAATTATTCACTGAAAGAAGATAGGAAGATTAAATAATTTGTTTGTTGAAGATGCTACCACTTTATGCTGACAAGCACTACAAAGGAAATCTGAAAATTTCCAATAAATCTTTTGATAGTTGATCCCTACCCATTCCCCATTAAATTTTTATGTCATTACATCGTCTTGTGTATATTTTGCTTCAGCTTAAAATTGAACGGGATGCTGGGCGAGTATTTAAGGGTTGGAATGAGGGGAAGATATATTTTGCTCCAACATATAAGTACTCATTTAACTCAGATGCTTATGCTGGTGAGACTGCAACATCAAAGAAAAAGAGAAGAACTCCTGCGTGGTATGCACCACTTTTAAATCTAGTCGCTGTTACACAAAACTACCTAATACTACCTTCATTTCTTTTTGCTCCAACTCTCCAAGTGTCAAAGGAAACATAGTATTCCACAGAAGAAATGAGACATTCTTATTATACTCCTACTATTTCAATAATACAATGAAAACCGCCATATCCTGCAGATTTCATACTGTATAAGCTAACTTGTTCAGGATAAACTTGCTATGCTCCAATTGATATCTGTTCCTACAATTTTTTCAGTTTACGATGTGGTTTGGCTGTGTTTTTTTTTCCCGTGTTGTGCTATGAAAATACTGTACTTCTGAACCATCATTTACTTAATCTATTTATTGCATCTCATCCCTCTGAAGTAGTTGAACTTTCTCAGGTGTGATAGAATACTGTGGCGTGGGGATGGAATTGTGCAATTATCCTACTACCGTGGGGAGTCTAGATTTTCTGATCACCGTCCTGTGTGCGGAACCTGATTGTTGAGGTTGAGGTACTAAACACGAAGAGGTGCTCATCAAACGCTGACATGAGAATTGACGCTGAAGAGCTCTTACCCACGGGCAAGGGTAAAGGTAATGTTATACCTACTGCTTGCATTATTATTATTCTCAATTTTTTGGTACTAAATATTAACAAGAATATTCTATGCTATTCATTCCATTTGGCAGGCATCGCACGAAATGTGAGCTCTCTGAGAACATGATAAGAATATATATAGCTTACACCAGTATACCAAAAAAAGAAAAGGAGAAGCGCCACGAAGGACGCCTATGTGGAAGAGGGGTAAACCGCAACCAATGTCCTCCCTCATCCTAGCAGGTTTCATGTGCTTTTGATGACTTTGGAAAATTGTTTTCTTTTGAAGAACCACAATATTTAGCATGTAGTGTTTGCAAAATTCTGTCAGGGCCCCTTTCGTAGGTCTGTTGTTTCTTCAGATTAGCTGCAGGTTGCAGCTGAGACAGAACAATTTTTTCTTTGAGGAAAGCGGGAATTTTATTTTATTTTATTTTATTACTAGAGCAGGATAAGCGAAGGCCGATGTTTCTTTGCTCTTTTTCTCCGGATATGCTGCTTGTGTCATAGGATATACACAAACTAATATATATTACTAACTCTGTATTGGGGCACTTTGTCTTCATCGGTTAACTGTATCGATTGGACTTTCAGTTTTAGGGCAACCTTGGAACCAGTTCAGTTTAGGAGCTGGTCGCCTTTTTCAGTTTTTTTTTTTTAAGAGATCGATGATCATCTATGCTTTGTTCGATTCTCTCTGGTTTATTTTTTTGAAAATTCGATTTGAATTCCCTACATGGCTACATCCGTGTGCCTTAACCATCGATCCGGCGACAGTTTTTTTTTTTCATACTCCACTTCGTACTGTGTCACAGACCGTGCTTGACCCGTCGACCGTGTGGCGGATCTGCTGGGGAACGGACGGCTGTCGGGCTGTAGCAGAGGCGGACGTGGTGCCGTGTGGAAGAACGTCGGCAGCGGCGGATGCCCGGCTTACTGGTGGGCACGCGTGGTGTGGCGGGGAACCAAACCAACCAACGGCCTGCGCGCCTTCTCCGTTCTCCCTCCCTGATGCCGAGCAGAGCTAGCAGGCACGTTCACCTGCCCTACAGTACAGTGCCTACATGGTACGCCCTCAGCCTGGGCACATTTAGACCGAAAACCGAGAATCGAACCGAACTGTCGGTTTTTCGGTTCGGTTTTGGTTTCTGGTTCTGGGAACTACGGTTATCGGCTTGATGTTCGGTTTGTACGTGAAACGAAACCGAAGAACCGAGCAACCGAACGACATTCATCAAACTTCCTCTCCTCTCGCGTCTCGCCAGAGCACCCCGACCCAATTAACAGGCCCACTCGGCCACTCCAATACTCCACCAGACCACCGCTTCGGCCCCACCCCCACCGGCCCACGCGAGATGACTCGACGAGACAGACACCCAAGGGGGGGAGCGCCAGGAGCGAACTTGCCCCAAACCCTATCGGGAGAGAGCGGCGGCGGCGCGACGGCCACGCGAGCGGGGAGGGAGATGGGCGGCTGGGTGCGACTCGCCGACGAGCTGCGAGCGCCCGAGTGGAGCAGCGAGCTACGCGCTGACGCAGCAGTTGGCCGCGAAAGTGCCCTGCCCCAAGGCGGCAGTCGGCTGGCTGACTCTGGCGCCTGTCTTGGAAAGCGAAGCGAGTGGCGATCGCGAGCACCGAGAGCTAGCGAGCGGCGCGCATGAGCGGTGGAGAGGAGCCGCTGCGACCGCGCCGTGGCGGTAGGATCCAGGCGGCAGAGCGACTTTCGAGTGAGATCGGCGAGGAGGAGCGAGCAGCTCTTTCGGAGACGACTTCGGTGAGATCAAGCGAGGCGAGGCGGCGGCGATGGTGGCGGCCCGGCGAAATATGAGCGGCGTCGAGCAAGCATGGGCCTAGGCGTAGGCCGCTCAGCTCCTAGGACAGGCCAAGGCGCGGCAGCGGGCAGGGAGGCCACGCCTAGACGCGACGGCGAGTAGGACTTGCAGCGGTGGCGACCAACGGACCATATGCTAGGGTTAGTTCGGTTAAACCAAAAAACCGAGCCGAACAAACCGAAACCGAATACATCGGTTTTCAGTTCTCTCACAAACCGATCGGTTGTCATAGCTTGGAAACCGAAATTTTTTGAAACCGAACAAACCGAACCGATTTGTCGGTTTAAACCGAATGCCTAGGCTGAGTACGCCCCGTCTCGTCGTGCCTCCCTCCTCTACCGAGCCCATGAGTTGATGTACTGCAAGAGCAACATTTTTGGATCTTCCTGTCCGTGACCCCACCTGGAAGCAGTCCCTACGTGCGACGAGGAGAAGGTGATAAGCCGATCGAAGCTGTTTTTTTATGAGAGAAAAATATTGTATTATAGTTAATAAGTTCGAACGAACGGGGCTTTGCAGCCGAACTCACATGGTCTGACGTACAGTAGAGGATCGGGATTGAATCGAGGGGACTCTCCTCATTGATGTTCCAACGGCCAGCGCTCAAGATGGACGTGACGGACAACCACCGGGGCCGGAGTGTCGACGCACAACGGCCTGCCGACCGCCAGATCCAACGCTTCTCGCGACAGCTCATCGCCAAGTTTCGCTCTCGAATTATTCCATCACCCGTGCCAATTCATCGCCGCTACTGTACTGCTACTGCACAGCATTTGCTACCTTGTCGTGTCCGTGCGTGGATCGTGACTCGTGACTTGTCGAGAGAGACCAACAGTGCCGGCGACATTGATGGAACTACGTATAGTACTCCGTAGTAGAAAGATACCAAGACGATGCTACGTAGTAGCACTGTAGTAGTAGTAGTACATAGCGTCACGAGCTCTAGCAAATTACAGTACACGCCCCAAGGAATTATTACAAAGGAACAAATCCGGAAGAATCTCGTGCCTGGAATGGGTGTTTGTACGTAATAAGTATCATAATTAATGCACAAAACATATATATGTGTTGTAAGAAGAATGAGGAAGAAATCACAAGTCTAATAAGACGACTGGCAAACTCTGACACGGTCTAGAACATAATCCCGGCGGCGGCCGTGACGGCGAGGGCGATGAGGCCGCCGGCGGTGACGCGTCCCGGTGCGTGGCTTGAGGATTTGGCTGACCCGGCCGGCGTGTTGGCTGCACAACACAACAGCGATCGATCGGAGGCAAAGTTATCAGAGCAAGTAGGCAATCATAAAGATTCTAAGAATGTGTGAGCGTGACAAACTGACGACTACTGAGGAAACCTAACAGCACAATGAAACCTCTACAGTGCATCGGTTAACATCAGGAGTACAGAAATTAATTAAGAGCTGTGCTGATGGATATTTAGTGCTAATATTCTCTATTCTCTTATCTCTAATAGCATGCTTAAGGGATCTGCGGATTTTCAGGAAGCGAGCGAGCAAGAGATCGAGAGAAAGCTCAATAGTGGTCTGTTCTTCAACGTATATCACGTATATCAGTGTCAGCGTTTTCAATGCTTTGCTCCTACAGAACTGGTTTAACAGAGGTGTGCAAAGTGATGCATACATCTCCAACAAAGATAGGAGTATGAGCTAGCAAAGGACTGAGAGAATCAAAGCAAGCATATAATACTATCACTTAGGCTGTCTCGAATAGAAAACCTATTACGAAACCCAAGCTTAAAATGGATCTCCAACACAATATCTATAGCCCATAATAGAGTACCTATATGAAAGACCCATTTTAGGTGCCAGGAGAGGTATAACTAAAATCTGAGTATCCTCTCTCCTGAGACCCATTTGCAAAAATGGTTATATTTTGGGTCTTGTTGTTGGAGAAGACAAAAAATAGGTATTGAACCCTTTGGCCCGTTCGGCTTACCTTATAATCCGCACTATTCAGCTTGTTTTTTCAGCCGAAACAATATTTTTCTCATACAACAATTCAGCCATAACAATGTTTTTCAACCAATTCAACCAAGTTTTGGCAAGCCGAACGAAGACCTTTGTATGTAACGCTACCCAAATAACAAATAGATCTTATATTTTAGGTCACGGTTATTTGAGACAGTCTTACCGAGCACGTCTGGGCCGCCAGAAGATGGAGAGAGGCCTGAAACGGGCGCGGCAGTAGGCACTAATCCCGCGGGGACAGGGACTCCGAAAGCTGCAGATACAAAATAGTTCACTCAAACTTAAACGTAACCAACCAAACCACGGTCTTAGTTAAATGAGAATAATATCTGAACAAGTAATTAGCTACGGCAACTTCCATCTCGTAATTGTGAACAGTTACGAATGGATTTGGCCGCTAGTATGTAACAATCCTCGATTAGAGGAAACTGCTCGATTCGGAAAGCTTTCTTTCATGGACCAACCGCAGTCCAGAGATGGTAGCAGTGCAAAGCCCTCAACGCTGGTGACTGTGCACAGCATGGTAGTACGTTACGTAGTGCGCGCGCGTACGTACCTGCGCAGGCGGCGACGGGCGGCGCGGTGAGGCGGCAGATCCCCGGGAGCGCGAGCGCGCGCTTGTAGTCGACGCTGACGCCGTAGGACTCGGCGCCGCCGCCCAGCAGCTGGCAGAGGCAGACGGGGTGGGACTCGAGCAGCCCGGCCAGCTCCGGGCAGCAGGGCTTGTCCGGGTGCCGCGTCGTGCTCCCGGCCGTCACGTACGTCAGGCAGTCCGACATGTTGAGCACCGCGTTGAAGCACTCCTCGCTGATCCCGGGCGCCGGGCCCGGGGCGGCGGCCGGCCCCTGCGCCAACGCCATCCCGAACGCCAGCGCCACGGCCAGCGCCGCAACAAGCACCGTCGTTGCCCGCCCCAGCATTGCCATGCTATTGCTCCTACTGCTAATGCTAATGCTAGCTAGCCGAGGCGGTGGTGGTTTCTGGCGCGCTTTTTGAGAAGTGACCTGACTGCTATATACTATGACAGAATTCCTTATTTGAAACAAATGACCTTTTCCTTTCTTGGCCTCAAAAAATTTTTCGTTCCTTATTTGACACCGACTTCAACTTTCATTTCTTATACGACACTTCGTTGGATTTTCCATCCGTGAACCGTTAACCGCCATGCGAAAAGACGATTTTGCCCCAGTGGGCCCCACCACCCTTCCCCCTCCTCTCCTCCCCTTCCTCGGCAGATCCGCCGCCGCCCCGTGCCCCATGGGCCAATGCCCCTCCGTCCCGCGCCACAGACGCCCCCTCTCCCGCCTCCGTCCCCAGCTCTCTCACGCTGCCACAGCAGTCCTCTCCTCCATCGCCGAGGCCAGGGGAGGACCACACGCCGACCTCCCGAGGAGCTCCTCGCCCTCGTCTTGGTCTCCTCGGCTCCGCGACCGCAAGCCTTGCTCCCCTCGTGTGCCATTGGCTAGCCATAGAGGTCGCCTCCGCCGCCTTCGCCTCGCTCGGCGCTTGAGGCACCGCTGCTCACCGACTCGGCCCTCCCCGCCTCCTCGCGCGCTTCCCGCCGTCTCAAGCTCGCTAAAAAGTGCGACCATTGTGGCCGAGCGTGGGCGACCCGCCCTCAAGCAAGTTGCCGACCGCCTCGGCCCGGACTTCGTCACCTCAAACTCCGCTCCTGCCTTGCGCGGTCACCGACGATGGGGTCGCCGCACTCACCGCCGCGGCCGCTAACCTCCGCAAGCTCTCCGTCGGCTCCTGTGCCTTCGGAGCCAAGGGAATCGAGGTTGTCCTCCGCTCCTGCCTCCACCTCGAGGAGTTGTCCGTCAAGCGTCTCCGTGGCCTCGCTGAGTCAGAGCCCATTTCCGTCTCCACCGCCGGCGTGCTGCTTATACGGGCGCGGACACGTCGGGAGAAAGGGAGGAGAGGAGGGAGAAGGGTGGTGGGGCCCATAGGGGCAAAATCGTCTTTTCGCATGGCAGTTAACGGTTCACGGATGAAAAATCCAACGAAGTGTCGTATAAGGAATGAAAGTTAAACTCGGTGTCAAATAAAGAACGAAATTTTTTTCAAGAAGATGGGTCATTTGTCTGCAAATAAGGAATTCTCTCATATACTACTGTGAGTGTGACTCTGACTGACGGCAGCGTGCGTACCGGAGTCGTGGCCCGCCCGCCCGGCCGGGGTGAAGCGTGTACCGAACTACCGATGGAGCAGGGCCGGGCCTGGTCGACCTGCAGTCTGTGGTGAGGTAGTTGCAGCGTGTCTTTAGCGAGCTAACCAAAGCAACTGGTGTCGCTACTCACTACTGCCACTCCCCTCCAAACCAAGAGTGTACCTGGCCGCGATTTTCTACACATGAGAAACGTTGCCAGGTTACCGTGCAGTAGTACATAGGAGCCGGTGAGAATCACAGCAAAACTGCCCGCGCGGCCGATCCGCGATCGCGATCGGTCCAGGCCCATCTCCATCTGCCAGTGCAGTGCAACTGTGGAAGCCGCCGCTCGCTAGCCACCCGGCGGCTGCCCCTGCGCGCGAATGAATGAGGATATGAATGATGCGGCTGCCCCTGTAGGTGTAGGCCGTGGCGTTGCGGCAGCCGGCAGCAGCGCGCTGGGAAACCGGGCGGAGACGGAGCGGGAGCCGGTGCCATGTGCGTGCGTGCAGTGCTCTCACCCGACTTGAATGCCGCATCAATGCGGCGGTCCCAGTCCAGAGACCAGAGTCCACACTCCAGGCATGGCTGCTTGCTCGCGCACAGCACAGCGATGGCCGATGAGCGATCTACTGCTACTACCACTACTAGGCTGTATCCAAGTGTGCGTCGCCTTTAGTGTGCTCTGAAAATCAGTTGAGGCCATGAGAGGGATCGGGCGAGAAATCTCGGCTCCTCTTCCGGCATTCAAGCGCCGACCTCGAGAGGGTGAAGACGGAGTAAAAGCCTCGGCATGGCATGTCTACACCACGCCACAGCGCCGATAGCGTCCGGCGTGCGGCGTTGAGCGAACAAGGATCGATGCTAGTACTCTTTTGAAGGGCCTATTTGGAACAGAGATTTCATAGGACTCACTCAGAAATTTTATAAAAATCAGTTCAATTTTACAGAAAAAAAAAATGCATGAACAAGATTTTTCTCCCCATGTTCCGAGGAGGCCCTTAGATTTGTATGTCAGGGCTTAGCATAAGATGACCTGAATTGGACTTGGCATGGTCTTTAAGAATATATTTTGACCTACGATATACTTTTGTAGGAACACAAGTTGAATCACAAGAAAGTATTTCTGAATATAAATCTAATATAACTGCTTTTGTAGTATAAACTTCTTGTATGATTAGGCTAATTTTTAGTCAAAGATTACAAACTTTGAATTTTAAAGTTCGTACATACATGCCTTACATGTCTTGTAGCTCCTCTTTGCGCAGAATGCTGGGAGACTGGTCCTGCGAGGAACGAGGGCAAGACCATTGCAGAGAACATGCTGCTGTGTTTTGTATACATTCGGGAAAGAACAAAGAACGCGTCCGCGCATCGCCGAAATGTAATGTATATATACTCCCGGGAGATAACATAACAAATCAACTACAACAAAGTTTCTTTAAACACCAGACCTCTCCTCGAATATGCGAAGAGCTATAGAATGTGGTGTGCAAAGTAAACTTTACACAAGGAGAAAAGATTCGTCTTTAATTTGGATACCCGGTTCAGTAAAATTTTCAGACTGCGGTATCATCTTCAGGCTCATTAAACTGCTCTTCATACGCATCCTCCTCAGCCCCGTCCTCAATGCTGCTGTCAGCACTGACACCATCGACGTCTTCATCGTTGTGGTTGGCACTATCGGTACCTTCTTCATCAATCGAGCTCAACTCTTTCCAATCACCATTTTCGTTTACACCAAGGATGCTGTCGTTGGCCATCTCGCCATTCTCCAAGTCGTCTGTACCAATATTGCTTTCTATTTCAATCTGATTCACCTTAACACTAGGAAACTGTAGAGCCTTATCAGGCCAGTCCTTAAAGAAATTGTTCAAGGTCATGAATTTGAACACGTGGAGAAGTTTATGTCTATCCCTCTTGATATCAGAGCTAAGAAGCTTCTGCAGGAGGGTTGGTTCTCTGCTCTTGGCCATTGCATCATCAGCGCGAGGAGTATGGTTCCATACCTTAGATCTTTTAGACTGAAAACCTCCACGCTCATACCTTGGTCTTTTGTTATTATTGAAACGATTTCCAAAATGAGAATCCCTGCATTGAGTTTTCCTATTATTTTTATTTTCGATGCATTGATCCCCAGTGTCTGATAGATAGCCAGGTGGTAGCTCAGGTAGGTCAAAACCCAGTTCTTGCTGCTTTGCTAGGACTTCCTTCAGTTCCTGCACCAAATAAAACAGTAGCATCTAAGAGCCAGACCAACATACATTTCCTTATTGAAATAATAGAATCATATCATCAACATTTATGTGCCCACAACTTGAATGCTGCGGACAGCACTTATACTCCCTCCAGTCACAAATAAGTAACATTTTGGACATCGACACAGTCTTCAAAACACAACTTTGACTAGTACCTTTTGCTACAAAATGTTCAACGAAACATTTCAAGACAAATCTACACATAAGAAATAGTATGCAAACAAATTTTGGAATGGTTGACTTGGAACCTCAAAATTTTGTGACTGGAGAGGCAGTAATTAGAAATCATTTAAAGCCAAACCAATTCCATTTTCCTTAAAAAATGAGAAGGAAGGTACATCATGATCATAAATTCATAATAACAAATATAGGACAACCTGACGTCGTAGCTGGGCATCTTTGTCCTTGTTTTCATTATCTGACTTTATCTCAGACAACTTCTGCATTTTTTAGTATATAAGCAACTGGTCAGTAAATGTTCCTTTCATGCAGACATGAAGTTGGTCAGGCCTAGTAAAAGGACGGTACAAGCATGGACCTTATTTACGTTGACACTTGTAGGGTAGTTCTTCTTTCGTGCCTCTACCCATCGTTTAACTTCATTTGAGTCGTAAACTATTGGAGGGGGTCTGCAAGTACATGTTTTCCGTAAGAAATAGGAATCTGTAACCCAATGATTAATTTGTGTTTGTACAGCAATAAAGAACGGGAGGCTAGGCAGATATACTTCGAAGACACAAATAAAAATGCACCAATAGAAAGTGAATGCAGAAAAACTATGAAGTTGAGGCTCTCTTGTTCAATGTGCTGTCCTAGCATATCAAGCTGTTTCTAGACATTAATAAAGGTATTAAAAAATCACCAGAGAAGCATGTGCTTCAACTATTCTAAAAATAAAGGCATATGAAGTTCTGAGGGTTTGATGGCAACATAAGCATACTAACTGAGCTGTGGACGTTGTATCCAAGCTACCTAAGTACTACCTCCGGTCAAAACTACCTGACACATTTGACTTTGAATGGTCTTCCATGCATATCCTTGACCACTAATTTCTTCTAGAATAATATTCTTAAAATCCTCAAAATTTAAGAGGTTTTGCAAGTATTCTTAATACAAATATGCACATATAAACTACATGTGTCCAAACTAAATAATGTAATAGTTATTGATGTTTGTAGTTTTCAAGTTAGACCAAATCTTGTCCGCAGCGACAAGCTTTTGAGACTGGAGGGAGTACTTAACACGAAAATGTGGTAAAAGGCATAATAAAAAGGTCTGAAGTCATTTTAACTCCGAACAGACTAGAAGAGATGCCGACATCGCTAACACTTAATCTGGTTATTCTCGATCAGACACATGTAGCTGGCTTCTTAGTAATAGCAATGATATTAACAGTAAAATACACTATTTGGTAAGTCATACTTTCGGCGTCCTCCAGATGCTGGAGCTGGAATATCACTGCAATGTCCTGATGCTGAACTTTTGTGCCCCATGAAGTTTGATTTTATTTCTCCCAAGTTGTTGCTTCCTGATAAAGTGATGAAATAATCATGTCAGTTAGTTGGAGAGATGTTATTCAATAAGATAGATGATGAAACAACAGTGGCAGATATTGGAGGGGTACAAGTAAAATGGAGCTTAGAAAGATATTTTTTATTTTCCCACAAAAAGGTTCAAGGTTAAGTGGATGTGAAGGCTAGTTTTACATATTGTTGGAAAAATAATGCATTGCAGACTTGCAATGATGAAATACGCTCCAGCTTGATGATTAACATTTAGCATAGCTTCAGTCCAAAACATACGATCCCAGCTCCTTTAATATGGAGAGAAGGTAGTCATTGTTTAATTTAGCAATCTTAGTATGAATGTTAAAAAGCAAGAGATGAAAAGAATTAATATGTATGGTTAACAGCATGTCATAGATCACACTACCTCTTCCATGACTTTGATTAGGGTGCCTTCCTCTGCCCCTCCCTCTAAAGGCACCAAATTGCCTGCCACCTCTACCATCTCTTCCAGCACTAAATCCTGATTTCTGATCTGTTATTTTGTTCCCATTTTCAGAGGCAAAATTAGATATGCTGCCATCTGCTTTATTCTCAAAGTGATACACCTGTTATATTCAACAAATCAGAAATTAAATGAGTCAATACCTTCTTTAATTAATGGGAAAAAATGTCACTGAAACACAATAATCTAAACAGAATAGGTTACGGCTGACGATGTTAAACTTATCTACACAATTATTAACAAATGGTAATAACATAAGATGATACAATACAAACACTTAAAAGAAATAAGGAATCAATCTAAGAAAGGTTATAGAGTGTAAGAGGAATATAACTAGACCACCAAAAGGTTCAAACGACAAATGAGCAAATGAACAAAGGGCATCATGAATAGAGTTAGCCTTGCTCATATGACCATATGGTGGAAACTTCGATGGGAGATCAGGTGACTCAGCAATGTTAGGTTAAGCATTTATTGTTTGATTGCAATACAGCGTGGTTTATCTCTACTGAAAATCATGCTTGGAATCCAGCACAACGATTGGAATCTTAAGCATATGGAGTGGCCATCTTAATATCAAGTCCTGCTAATATCCATGAAAAGGTCTGCACAAGAGAAAGCTATGCCAATGCAAATGCCTAGTGTTAGTTCATACCCATAGATCAATTTCAACAAATAACGGCACATGATTCAATCACCTCGCCGTTTCTGCCAGCACTGCTATTCCGGTCCTTCCTCCCAACGTCGAGAATCGGCCCCGGCGTGCCACCACTGCCGGCTTTGCTGTTGTGGTCCTTCCTCCCAACGTTGAGAATCGGCCTCGAGGTTCCACCGCTTCCAGCGTTGCTGTTGTTGGAACCGTTCCCCGCAGGGCTCATCATGGGACTGGGTGGCCGCGGCCCACAAATCCCAGCACCGCCCGGCCGAAACGCCCCGCCGCCATTGAAACCCGCAGGCGGCGGGCCGCCCGCGAAGGTCGCAAACTGATTGGGGTTCGCCGGGAACCCTCCGGGAAAGAACTGCGCCTGCTGCTGCTGCTGGAGCGCGGCGGCGGCGAGGAAACCGAGATTCTGGAGCCGCTGGGCCTGGCCCAGGAACTGCAGCGCCAGGAAAGGGTTGGCCGCCGCCGCTGCAGCCATGGGGTTGGCGGCGGCGGCGGCGAGGTTGGGGACAGGCGGCGGGAAGGCGGGGTGCATGGGGGTACCGGGAAGGTGAGGCGGGCCCGGGTCGCCGCCGGGCCGTGCGCGGTGGTATTGGTTGGGGTTGGGGCGGGGAGGGTGGAAGGGGCGCATGGCTGCGCCGGCGTTTTTGGTCGGCGAAGAGATGGCCGCCGCGCAGTGACGGTGGGAGAGAGATTTTGTGTAGGGTTTTAGGCCTCGGTCCTCGGGGGCCACGTTTGATAGCTTTCCTGGCTCTGCTCTTCCTTTCGCGGAAAAGAACTGCCAACACCCTCGGAACTTTACAGGAATTGCGCGGGATTTTAATCCGTTTATTTTCACAGAAAAAATACAGAAATAAAAAAAAATCTCGCATTTCAAACAGGGCCGAAAAAAAATGCTCTCTCACGCTGACAAGTCCTCGCTTGGAACGCGCCCAAAAGCCGTCGTTTCTCCGCGCCTCTTTTTTTTTGCTCCCAAAAAATTGAACCTAGAACATACGGTGTATTAGTCTAGAATTAAGAATTAGAATCTTTATCATCGCAAAAAAAAAAAAGAATTAGAATCTTTATTGATTTTTTCTGTTTAGTTGTCCACAAAATTGAGATTTAGAATTATAACCTCAATTCCTTACTATTGACCTACAACTAGAAGTAATCTCAGTTTACCGAGGTCTAAGGGGTTCTCCCCTGTGCCCGCCTCCCTCTCCATGCGTGCCTCCTACCTCTGGCACCTCCCTCGTCGGTCGCCACTCCCATAGCCATCCTCGTTGGTCGCCTCAACTGCCGATCATCGCTCCAACTCCTCCCTCTCTGTGTGCACCCGTGCTCTTGACACTTCCCTCCGTATGCTTTCCCCTAGCCCCTGATGCCTCCCTCGTTGGTCTCTTGATTCGCCCTCCATATGCTTTCCCCTATCCCCGCTCCAACTCCTCCCTTTTTCTCATGTGCACACTCCTAGCTTCCGATGTCTCCCTTGACACTTCCCTCATGTGCTTTCCCTCCCCCCCGCCCAACCCTCTTTGTGAGTCCTGTTCCTCCTCCGGGTCTCTTGCCCTCCATCACATGCTTTCCCCAAACAATAGCCCTTGATGCCTTCTACCTCAATATCTCTCTTGATTAAAAAAAAAAAGACCCAGTTTGGCATGGTCGCATGCCCCCCCCATGCCCAAAAGATGGCACTTTCCCATCATGTCTCCTTGGTTATTGTGTTAGTTACTCCTATTTACTCCTAGCTTCCTTCCAGCTATGTCTCCCTTGTCGAATCGTCATTACGCCCCCTAATTCGGGTCTGTGTTGACCTTCTCCACGCATGTGCCCAACCACCTCCCCGCGTCCCCCCCTCTGTGTCAAGTCTGGTAGGCTCCTCTCCTTGTTCCCCGGCTCCGGGTCATGTGGTTGCTGCCGGTGACAAGAGGACTAGGTCACAGGTGTGGAGACAAGAGAGGAGCAGAAGAAGATGAGTCGATTCTATGTACATTCAAACAATAGAACTGGTACTGTAAGCTATTTTCAATACAAGGCTGATTTGGTATTGATATCCAATTCAATTCTAGCAGCTTCAATATCTACATCTAAACAGAGCCATGGTACAAAAAAAGACCAGTTTGGCATGGTCAGCCGGAGAAGAGACCGAAGGTGCAGCACGGCATGCCCAAAAGATGGCATGACAAACAGTGTTTACTTTCGAATTTAAAATACTGTAAAGGCCAATTTCATTTCAAAAAACGGAATCTGGATATAACACACTAGATCGGATTTGAACCGAGAAAATACAATCCCAGGACATATTTTTTAAATCATTGATCGGTAGAGGAGTGAATTGAGCTTTGTGAAGAACTGAATATACAACTGCTATCTGCTATTAAGCTGGCATAAAGCAATTAGATCACTTACCAGGTGGCGTACTAGCTCTTGAAATCTCTACCGTAAAACAGGATGAAAATGCAGCGCAACTAGCTGAATCACAAAAACAAAGGCAACACTTGCAGCGAATTGGTTATGCAGTGAACAAGCAAACATGGTCCTTTAAAAGGAAAAAAAAAAGGGAGCATTTTTATGAAAGAAAAAACATGGGTAAAGATATCATCGTGATCCTTTACTATGATGAGCATTAATATTGCTGGGGAGAGTCGACAGGCCCCTTTAACATACAAAGGTAACACCCATTACTGAACAACACAACATCTTAAACCAATACGATCTTTTGATGAACATCTTTTTACTATATTTTTAAGGAATAAAAAAGGGTAAGGAACCAGTCATTTGATGTAAAAATGCCACCCCTCTCATTCACAACAGGGTTTAACAAGAACATGAACACAACCCACGGGCAAATGTCGAAATGGTGAAATAAAATTTTTGATGCTTGACCCGCACTGCCTGCCAGAGATACATCAGTCCATGGGAGTATAGGACACAGCTTTTCCTTCGGGCAAAAATTCCAGCACTCCTGCCATGTAGACTTCTATGCAGTCCTTTCTGATATACAAGAGAGCACGGACAATGAAATCCAAGACACATATTTACCTCAGGGTTTCAGATTCGATGCACATTTGTTTTCAATGCATCTAGTATAGTACACCTGAATATCCATTTGAATTTCGACCAGTGCCGATTGCCTTCCTCTTCTGTCACCACTATCCAACAAAACACTCTTTACTAGCGCTCACTCAAATGGATTCCTAGGTGGAAAAGCTCCTTGATGTGTTGAACTCCTGTAATAAAGTGATGATTTAGAAAGTAATGTGCATTACTAACTATATGTGCAAGTATCAAGGAGCTTACAACATGTGAGAGTCTTGTCCTGCCACATAGGCTAACCCTCCTGGACAAAAAATCAGATATGGTATTAACAGCGAGAATTTTCAGTCTTTCTGTGACTGTATATTTGTGCATCAGTGCATGAGGAGTTATTTGAACAAAGATTAAGTACCTTGAGGCCCAGAAGGAATATATGACATAGTGGAATTTTGAGAAATCCATGGCTCTGTTAAGCTTCCAGAATAATCTGTGGGAGTGTGAGGATCTGGTAATGTTTCTTGCAGTGAGGTCAAATCCATGAACTGAAAAAGGGAACCAAAAGGTGTCAGTGAATAACGAGAACCAAAAAAAAATGTATTAGGCAACATGGGAACAACTGCATTCAGGTTAGAATGTCAAGAACCAAAGAATAATGTACACAGACTCTATTCCTGGGTTTGTATTCACATAATAAACGAAAAAAAAACTAAAATCCAATGAATTGGTTTCCTTTTAGTCTGAACTTGTGTGTTATGAAGTCACAAAGATTTTAGTCTGAACACATTTCTTCCAATGGGAGCCGAAGTTGCTAAAGGGATGACATCTTAGGAGATTTTGGAGACTGAAAGTTCACGGTAAGTCTTGCTTTAGGAGGGAGCCTATGATGGTCAAGGCCATCAAGAACTCAGATTTGAATTGCTTGTACTATAGCTCTGTTTGAAGAATTGTAGGCTGACTTAGGTTAGTTGGCTCTTTCGCTTAATTTCTTTTGTATGTTCATATTCCAGCCATGAATACTGTTGTTTCAAATAAGAAGCTTACAAATAGAAGGAACAAAATTACTAGCCCGCATTATTCTTAATACTATTGTAAATCAGAAAGAAAAATAATAATACCATGTCATTGGCGTCAACATCAGATTCAAATGCCATGTCAAATGGGTTTGTTGATTTTCCAGGATGAGAGACCATGCCACCCTGAAATAAAATTCATGAAATTGTTACCACGGTAAAATAATCCTGTTTTGACACTTGGGTAAACTGGTTCCAGTTATGCACCAGCACTATGGCAGGCAGATTACAAGAAATAAAGGGCATGCAAAGAAGCTAAATGGCATTCGCAGGTGCCCATTAGGGTGATGTATGCATTGTGGGAGCCTCAGAATTCATAGTCCAAATTGTCTTGGTAAAATGTTCCCTCAATGTTTATCATAAGCTAGATAATGCCATGTCAAGTAGACCCCACAAACAAATATACATTATATGTCAAAGGGCACAATTTCAATATGTCAGTTCGTGTTTGCTCTTAGTAAAAATGGAACTGTTGCCAAACAAGAAAGCTAACTGGCTATCATAGGAAAGAACCTTAAATCATGGATAAAACATACCAAATGGGGCTGGAATGATGAAGGAAACGATGGTCCAACCACCTCAACATGTGAAACATTGAAGCCAGAAAACATATCCCCAGGAGTTGGCCTTTCAGGCTCACCCCTAGCTAAATCCTAAAGAATGATTCAGAATATTGAGTCCAGTCTTCATTGAGAAATATACTTTTTGAGTCGTTAACTGAAACTTATGTACCTGTGGAGTTCTGGCTTCAACATATGGACCACTTGGCATAGAGAATTGATGAGCTTCTACTTGAGGCATAGTATTAAATGTGAACAGATTATTTGATGTGCTCTGAGTAGATTCACTAAAGGCATTCCAAGACTATAAACAAGCAGGAGAAAGTTACTAAACATGTGAAGCTATAATAATCCATTAACAGCCTCATATGTCAAATGACAAAATTACCTGAGAATTTTCTTTGGGGACAGGGATCTTCACTTCCTCAGCATTTAAACTCCAGTTATCCATCATAGCCGGAGAACTTTGTGACCCAATTGCATTTGGTGGCGAAGTTGGTAATGTTGATTGATCAATTCCTTTAGCAATACCATCAGATGGAGGGAATGCAGCAGGCACCTGACCTTGCACATTTGAAACAGATGTCAACGATCCATGTTGCATGTCAAAGAAAGCCCATCCATCATTAGCAGGCAATGGAGCTGCTGATGGAATTTTCTGAACAGTAGACAAATGTGGCAAATGTTGGTCAAAGCCAGCAAATAGATCTATTGGCTGAGAGGGTGAGGATGTTGCTGGTTCCTGCAAAATTGACAGACTGAATAAATCTTGGTGCACAGCATGAGATGTGGCGACTGCTTCAGCTGATGGTACAATGCCCTTCTGAACAACACTATGGGCAGGTTCTTTAGCAACATCAGAATGACTGGATACATTATCTGTATTATGAGAAGCTGGTAACTGTTCATTAAAGCCAGCAAACAGATCTATCGGCGCAACAGATGTGACAGGCTGTTGCACAGTTGATTGATCAAAGAGGTCAAGAGGTGTGGAAGTCATTGGTTGTACTGGAGCACGCGTCGACACCGCAGCTTCAATCTGAGCGCCACTATGTTGCACTGGTTTCCTGGTGGCAGCAGTTTGGCTACCTAAATCAGCAGGTTTCTGAGGTACCAAGTTGTAATTGTTGGGTGGCGAGGCATATTGTTGTGTCGAACAAGCCTCAGGAGAAGCCACAGTCTGATGGTTTACAGCACAATGGGCTGACTTTTCTGTTGGTGCATCAGGCGGGTTACCTGATTCAAATGATTTGTTGGAAACTGAGCTACCATCAAATGATCCAAAACTTCCAGAAGAAGCTGTTCGCTGCACATGGAAAGAAGGAACGATTTATATAATCTCCACTATACTTGGAAGAGTTTTCTAAGCCCAAGAGGCATTTACTGGAAAGGGAAGAGAACAGAAGAATCAAAAACCTGTGAACGTCGAACTCCATTGAAGTCTGTTTGCGAAGCTGCATTAGGGTATTTCTGGGATTGAGGATTGTCAGCAGAGACATTTCTTGAATGGTGGACTGAGGGACTGCTGTAGCCTGTCTCCTGAGAGCTAGGAGAAAGCACATCATTTCTAAAGTCACCAATGCTTGAAGCTGAGAAGTCAGAAAACCTTGATCCTGAACTTTCATTAGCAAAACGGTCTTCATTCATCTGCTCTCGCAAACGACCTGGACTGAATAGTAAGTTGCCAAGTTTCCCATCGAAGAGCGCCCTATCTGAAGGCCTTCTAGCAAGTGTGTCGACTTGCTTACCATATCGTCTATCTTCATACTGAAAATCATAGGGTGGACTCTGGGAATACGAATGATAAGAGCTAGGTCTTCTCATGTCATTGTCGTTGCCCTTCATACTCTGCCAGAAAAAATGGAAACTATAATTAAAGCATATTCGTGGACTATGGTAGTTTCAGCAGGAATATGTGGACAACTATGGGAATTAGTTGGAATGGCAATATGGGCTATGGTAGTTCAAAGGTTACATAAATACAGTGCAATTACTTATACCTCCGTATCTCTGTTCACTAGACTTATACAAAGGATAATACAATGTACTCGCAAGGCACATCAGCTCATTACCTCACTATCTGTGGCTGGTTTGTTAGACGATCCACCAGCATACTTCTTATCCACATAAACAGCCCTGATAAATTCCCTTATCCTATCCGGATTGCTGAAGCAAAACATAGATGAGAAACATAACATTCTTCGGATAGAATAAAACATAAGTACTCATAAAAACTCAAGAATGAAACGAAACTCACGTATTGACAGGCAACCTCATTCGTTGCCAATCCCAATCCTTTAGGTAGATGTCACGTGCTCGCTGCAGTCATGACCTCAACTTTAAGTCATAAAAGATGAATGGAGGGCTCTAGAGGTACAAGATAAAATAGCTATGGGTTTTGTTTTACCTGGTTACCTCCCTGTTCGAGGGCCTGCACTTCTTGTGTAGTAAATTTGGACATTGACACCGACTTAACACGGTGAGTGAATTCACGGCTGTATATCACACCACAAGGCATCAAGAAGGTAACAACATCAAGAAGATACATCAGAACTAAAAGCAGACTAAACAAACAAAGGTTAACAATGTCCAACAGGACTTGATTATCTGCTTCTCCAGTTGAAAATTGATTGCATGTACAAGTAAAATGTCCAGAGACTAGAGTTGTAAAATGGCATGATGGAAATTTCCATTAGGGAACTAACCGGAAAATAATGTGATAGCCCTTAAATGTAGATTTTCAGCCATGTCTGGGCAGCAGACAATACCATTTTGTTTTTCATCTAAAGCACATTCTTATTATTTGCCTTGTTAGAAGCATCACATACCAAAACCATACATTTCCTAGCAAAAGTCAATAAGGTAGGGAAAAAGATACTCACTGAATTCCACTACATGACAGGCAAATGAAGGTCCAGAAATTGGTACACACATATTGTGGCCCCTATATAACAAAAACAAAAGTGGTTCAGGTGAAATCAAGTGAACAGTATATAAAAAACACTTGGGCAAGAAACTGAGACAAAATGCATCACTGGATAAAGTTTTGTGCTGAACATCAAAGGTAGATTCAATAACAGTTAACCAAATGGGAAAATCAACTCTACTGCCACACTATATTACATAAACTGGTAAACACAACACCAATAGTACTTACTGACAATTATATTATAAAATACTAAAAAACACAGCAATTCAGAGCAACTTAATTGTCAAACACAAACAGAAGGTGCAGACAAAAGCAACGAAACCAGTAAGTAGCTCAAATAAATCAAAGAACTACCTATCAACATACGAATCAAGCAATTGTGTATTAGGAAACAATAGCAACATTTAGAGTTTCACAATCCGGAGTAAACCAGGGACGAAACAGAAGTACCACAAGTGATCGAAGTAAAATAGCAACGAATATGTCATGTTCTGATGCCGGAAACAACATATAGAAATAATAATAATCTTCCAGCCAACAGGAATATAAACCAACGAGCCAAAGTTCACAAGGAACTCGATTTTTTTTTTGCAAATCTGAGCTAACTGCGTAACATTCCAAACCATTGGCGGAGCGTCGTTAGGGCCATAGAGGGCTCTGGCCCCCCCCTTGCCACGGCCAGTTTTCTGAAGATCACAGTTGAGCATACAAATTACCATACGTGGATTTGGTGTGTTGCTACTTCAATAGTTGATGCATGGCTGCCACGCGCGCGCTCTCAGTTCTCTCTAGCCTCTGCGGCGAGTCCGCGCTTCCATACTCAGGCAGTCCAGCCTCCGCGGCCCCGTGCTCTCGCCTCTGCATCTGCTGCATGCATGCAGATAGCCAGATACGGCTTCTCTTCTTCCTTCTATTTTTGCTCCCAATTAATTTGTTGTCAATCAAGATATGTTATTACTTTTGAGATGGTCGCTAGTTCATACAAATTGGCCGCCTCTACGTGTTACTTCACGCTCCGCCACTGTTCCAAACGACAGACAGATTCCACTGCCTCCCATGTAACGATCCGCGAAGTGGAACAGCAGACGCCTCCCAATCAGCTTAGTAATTAGTGAACCAAAAACGCGAGAGGGTTACCACACTGTTGCAATTGATGCACTTGCGGTTGGGCGGCAGCTTCATGAGGCCGCGGATGATCTTCTCGTTCCTCTCCTCCTCCCTTCTGCTCCCCATCGTGCGCCGCAGAAATCAAAAAATCCCCTCAGAGTAAACCGAAGGATTCACCCGAAAAGACCGGCCGAAATTTCAACGGGCCCGGCCAGAAATTGGCGAGCCCTAGCTCGATTGGGGCCGGAGGATTCGGGCGCTGGTAGGGAATTCGAGGGGTCGGCGGCTAGGGTTTTGCGGAGGTGGAGAAGAGGAGGAGGCGAATGGGAATGGCGGCGATGGCGAGCCTCGTCGAGAGAGATGGGAGAAGGAAAGGCGAAGCGAGAAAATTGGCTTTGGATATTAGTGGCTGAACCGACGGATCCGGGAGTTTTTTTTTTAATAATAATACAGCATGGAAAAAGGTTTTAACGGCGTCGTGGCCTCAAATTGAATTCCTACGACAAACGACCGCAACGTCGACAAGCAAAGTACGCTCCATGCGATTCCGTAAGCATAACGGTCTAATGCGACCATTTGTCCGTTTCGTCTGGGGCCATGATAAGCAAGCTGTGCATGTCGGTTGTTTGTTTTGCACATGAGTATCTTCACCACCAGATTAAGGAAACAATTCCTTATATATATATGCAGCTAAAGATGATCGACAAAACAGACTTTTAAAGTGTAAGGTAAGTAGGTAACTATGTTCCAGTAAATTGAGAAAGGAAAGGAGATTGGAGAAAAGGTTGCTTGTTTCTCTCTATTTAAGGGATTAAGAAAAGGTTCCGAGCAATTGAGAAAAATATATAAAAAAGGATTGAGAGATGAGATCAGCTGGAATAGATTTTTTTCACCTCATTCCTCTGTATGATAGTTTTTAGAGAAAGATAATTGTTTTTCTCGATCCGGTGGAGTTGCTCTTAAGTGCTCCCTTACATCTTGAAATATCACGGTTTTCAATTGTTCTAAATTCTACCATTTTAAGTTTAATCATTTTATTGAAAAAAATTATTAACATCTTATATATTAAGGAGATAAATTATAAAAACATAGGACTATTTTATAATGTATCTTTTTTGTGAAGTATTTTATAATGTGTCTAATGATGAAGCTCATTTAGCAAATACTTACTCGTTTCAAATTATAAGTCGTGCTAACTTTTCTAAATAACATCCTCTATCTCAAATTATCGGTCATTTCGGCTTTTCTAGGTACATAGTTTTTTTTGCTATGCAGCTAAATATACAATACGTCTAGATACATAATAAAAAATTGTGTATCTAGAAAAGCCAAAACAACCTATAAATATACTGACAACGTTGCTTGCGACTAATCTAACATGTGGACATTGCTGCTACTCACACGAGAGGCGACATAATTTTAGTCCGAGAAATACAATTCTTATATTTTGAGAAATTAAATACTTCAAAATTTAACTAAATTATAAAATATTTACATTTATTATATAAAATAAGTATTATTAAATTAGTTATGGAATATATGTTTATAGTAAATTTTGTTGGAGTTATAAACCTTAATATTATTTGTAATAAATTTGGTTAAATTTAAGTTAGTTTGATTTCTATAAATTATATAGTTGTATTCTTTTTGAATGGAGGGAGTATATTGCATTATCCGCTGGGATTGTGAGAAGCACTTCACAAGCGCACCGCATACCTACGAACCACACGGTCAATTCTCGAAATTCTCAGAAGACTGAAGACAGGGGTTGCCCTATGCCTCCTGTCATTTGGACTAGTCGAACTGACGAACTGGCAGAGAGCTTTCAGGATAGACATGGCTGCCGCCTTTGCCGTCATCTCTCTCCTGCTGTTGGTTTGCGTCCAGGGCGCGGCTCCCGTTCTTGGCGTCACAAGGAGCGACTTCCCTGAAGATTTCGTCTTCGGATCCGCTACCTCGGCTTATCAGGTAACGGATGACCGCGTCCGGGACTCCCGTCCCGTGCATGGATTCATGGGCCTTTCTTGCGTGCTAATCATAGGCGACTAATCTTTTTAGTTACTTTGAAATGAATTGCTACTGCAGTATGAGGGTGCTGTTGCTGAGGATGGTAGGAGCCCAAGCATCTGGGATACCTTCACTCACGCAGGTTCGCACGTCACTTGTCGGTTGGATTTCTGCCACTGAAAAAACTAAAACTGGATACTAGGCACCGTGATTCATGTTTAATAATGCATTGATTTAGTTACCCTGCAGCCTGAGTGCCTGACTGGAGTATTACTGCCACGCTTTTTCATCCTTGATTGATAACAGGGAGCATGCCGGACAAAAGCAATGGTGATATAGCCGCCGACGGGTACAACAAGTACAAGGTGAAAAACTCAGCTGCTATCGAGCTGCTGGTTTCTTTTACTATGCCTATCAAGTAACCTTTTGTCTGATCTCTAAATATTTTTATTTAAAAACTCTGGCATCTAAATATAAAAATTGCTGTCCTTAATCTTAACATATAATTTGTTGCATTGAAGTACTGTTACTACTGAGATCTGCACGCTGATTGTTTCAGCATACGGAAAGGAGCATTCTTGATTTGTTTCTTGCTTTGACCTTAACCACCTAATGTTTCAGGACGATGTTAAGCTCATAATTGACAGTAACCTGGAGGCATATAGATTCTCTATCTCCTGGTCCAGGCTTATACCAAGTATAACAATTTTTTGTGCAGAAACTTTATCATGTACAAATCAACACATTTCTAGGATCTTCGATTAAACTTTCTTAAATTAAATACACAGATGGAAGAGGTGCTATTAATCCAAAAGGGTTAGAGTACTATAACAATCTCATAGACGAGCTAGCTAGACACGGTATGCCTATTGCAAATAAATCTTGGATGGTATTTATATCTGGTAATTGTATGAACATAAGTAGTATCAGTAACTATGTCTATTGGGTTCTTCAGGTGTCCAAGTCCATGTTATGATTTGCCAGCTGGATCTCCCTCAGATCCTGGAAGACGAGTATGGTGGATGGTTAAGCCCAAAGATTGTGTAAGATCCAGTAACTTTTGCTGTCAGTGAATGATATTTTTCCCAAAATGAACTTATCTTGATCATCCATGCTACCACAAAACGCAGGGAGGATTTCACGGCATATGCAGATGTGTGCTTCAGGGAGTTTGGTGACAGGGTTTCACACTGGACCACTCTGGATGAAGCCAATGTGGCTGCACTTGGGTCCTATGATATTGGACAAATTGCACCGGGAAGATGTTCTGATCCGTTTGGATTTGGAAACAAAAAATGTACAGTGGGGAACTCAAGTGTGGAACCATATATAGCAGCTCATAACATGCTACTGGCACATGCATCAGCTACCAGACTGTACAGGGAAAAATACCAAGTGAGTAATCTTGTACGTGAAAACATCACAGGTGTCTTAACATTAGTCTTGTATTGTTTCTCTTTTCTTGAACACGCATGAGAGCTGAGCATCACTGCATTAGGAGAAGAAATGCACATAGTGTACAAACACACCCACCCACACACTTGTAAAATCAGAATCTTATATCGTGACATCTGAGATTGATCCTTATAATAGATCTTACATTTGAACACGTTGAGCCAAGGCATCAGTTTCTCTTCTAACTACACCAACAACATTCCCTTTGATTTCTTAAAATGTTTATATCAGTCAGATATTTACACAAGCATAAAATGACTGACTTGTAGGCTGTACAAAAAGGAGTTGTTGGCATAAATATATATACAATGTGGCCATACCCACTAACAAACTCCACTGCCGATTTAGGAGCAACTCAAAGATTTCTGGACTTCTATTGCGGCTGGTATCTTTTTAACTCTTGTTGCATCACAAATGTGGAACATTTATAGAGATAATCGAAAACAAGATGCATCGATTGTAGGATACTAGAACCATTGCTGTTTGGAGATTATCCAAGTGTAATGAAGAAGAATGTTGGTTCTCGCCTTCCGTCGTTCAGAAAAGTTCAATCTGAAGCCATTCGTGGCACTCTAGATTTCATCGGAATAAACCACTATTTTTCTTTCTATGTGAATGACCACCCTTTAGAAAAAGGCATCCGTGACTTCGTACTGGACGTTGCTGCTGACTATAGAGGTAAAACAATTTGTCACTCGATACAGGATTATGCTTTTACCGCTTGCAATTCTTTAGATACATCCCTGGGACTTTTGATTCATTTATCTAGCGTCACATACACACAGTACAGTGCATACACAATGGCCTACGAAAATTCAACATGGTGTCACATGGACCAAATAATTTGCTTATGCTTCTGAAACATATTCGCAATGTTATGAAACCTACAAGCTAAATGCTGCATCTAACAAAAAGATTATTTGAAGCAGGTTCGAGAACGGATCCACCAATAGGTCAGGTGAGGTTTTTCATCGACAATTTTTCAGAAATGCTGATGACTGATACTTTTCAGACATTATGCTGTGCAATTAGGAATTCCTGTCTAACATGGGAAGTTAAATAAAAACACACTGAATGGTCCTCTTATTTGAGTGAGTAATATTTGGAACTTTTTCAATGCTGTGACAGATATAGCCTTTTCATTTTACTGCAGCAAGCCCCAACATCTATTCCGGCTGATCCCAGAGGATTGCAACTTATGGTAGAGTACCTGAGTGAAGCCTATGGGAACCTTCCCATTTATATCCAAGAGACAGGAAAGTCTATTTCCCAGCTGCAGGCCTCAAAATTCTAGTTCAGATAGTCTAAGAAGTACCTCTAAATGACTGCAGATATCTGTTTCCGAAAACAAAAAATGACTATTCAGACATCAATGCGTTCTATATACCTCTCTTTCTGGAACATATACTTTGCCTGGTAAAAAGTACTTGATGTTTTCTTACTTTTCATGATCTTCAATGGCTACTTTGACCACTATCATCTATTTTAAAATATATTTATAATATAACAAAGTTATAAGACTATGAAAGTGCCTTTTAAGACAGACCTATGTTATTTATTACTCCCTATAGTTTCCTAAAAGATGTCATTTTGGACAGCGACACGATCTCCAAAGCATAACTTTGACTTCTTATTTTTATAAAAATATTTATTGAAAAAGTATATTTCAAGACAAATCTATTCATATGATTTTCAGATTTCCAACAAACTCAACAATTTAAAAGTTATTCATGATTTAAATTCCCAATGTTTGACCCAAACTTTGTCCAAAACGACATCTTTTAGGAAACTGGAGGGAGTATGATTTTAATGTTTTGAATCTAGTATGTCAAAAGTTATTGACAGTTAAGTTTTAAAAAATTGATCACATCTTGTTCAAAACATCAATATTTATGATCAGAGATAGCATTCGATTTATACTTTGTTCCCTCTCCTTTCTCTCTTCAGGTTATGCAACTAGCAACGGTAGCCTCCATGATACTGACAGGGTTGATTACATGAAGAACCACATAAGCAGCACATTGACTGCTCTAAGGTGAGAGATATCAGATCACAAAGAGGGTTTTATGGTTCCTAGAAAGGTACCAAAATTATAACTCGATTAGCAGCTTTCCAAGGATGGTAAAAAGGCACAGTAGCAGAACTCAGCAACGTGTATCAGGCAGTCGACAACTTTTCACTAATTGTTCAGATACAATTTTTTTTCAGGAAGAACTATTTTTCACAGAGATTTATTCCTCATCCTGTTTTGACGTGCAGGAATGGGACCAATGTGAAAGGCTACTTCGTGTGGTCCTTCCTGGACGTCTTCGAGTACCTGACAGGGTTCTGGTCGCAATACGGCCTGTACCGTGTTGATTTCGAGGACGAGGCGCTACCAAGGCAAGCAAGGCTATCGGCTCGCTGGTACTCTAAATTCCTGAAGAAGAAGGGGATCCGTGTAGAGGATGAGTTCGACGATGCGGGATCACACGTTGAGCAATAAGTTTTCTACAGCGATACATTGATTTGTACATCCTCTAGCGAGACTACTGAGTACTGTGCATTGCAATGGAAGAACACTTATGGGAAATCAAACATAAATTGTACATCATTTTTGTTTTGATCTCTGAGAACTGATCTATCAAAGGTGGTATTCCCCAGTGCAGTAGCCACACTTACAACATCTATTTCGACAATAATATGCTCCACTCAATGTCCTTCAGGTCACTGTTTCTGCATGTTGGGCCATTCATAAAAAAATCAACAGCACCTGTTGCAAGCACTACCTGTCCGAAGTGATCACATATGATGAATCTCCAACCTCCTTGGTTAGTCTGAGGAAAAAAAAGGGTCGTCCGACGCCAAAAAAAAAAAAAAATCCCTATCACAATTTATCTTATAAATTTGCCTGGTGTTCCTTCCATCTTGAGATGGCAGGTTGCTTGTGTGCTGGATCATTCTTGTTGTGCGCTAAATTTCAGGCTTTGAGCCGATAAAACACATCATTAACAACTTCCTGAGCACTCTTTCTTTGTTCCCCTGCATTCACTTTGTTGCGTGCAGACCACCAGCACCATAGTAAATAATTTTCTGTTGCTTATCACGTCAAACTTCCTATTTTCCTCTAATATTTCTTTGGTTAAGCATAAACACAATAATCTCTCCCTCACCTCATAAATTCAGCGGTAGCTAACATAGTCGCATTTCCTTTCATTTGAAAAAAAAAGTGGCCCATATCCTCATCAAATTTGTGGGTTATAGGACTGAGGGTTTCTAACTTGACTCTCCGTCCAATGTTTTGCTTGACCGACAAAGAGTTGTGGCCAAATTGTCATAGGAAGGATGCGAATGTAAACCTTTATATTAGTTTGTTGTTTAATAAAATCCAGGGGGGAACCCTCCTGTTTCACTAAAAAAATGTAAACCCTAGATCGGAGACTTAGCTGGTCAGGCGATTTCACGAAACCAATTCTAGATCCGATTCCTCCTCTCCATTCGGCGTCAGGTGTTTGGGGATTGAGTTGGAGGTGGCCTAAGAGGGTTTGGGGATTGGGCTGGAGGTGAGCCTTTTAGAATTCGATTATTATGGGAAGTGGGCTTCGCCAAAATACCAACCTGTAACGGGACTTTCGCCGGATCGCCATTACAAAACATGGCCCAACACGTCGAAATACCATTTGAGGACTTTGGCACTCTTTTCTCCCTCTTCTGCCCCTGTCCTTTCCTTTTTCTTTCACGAGGGCGTTCGCTCGACGGAACGGAGGGAGTGCAAAACCGATCGAGCCTGGACAAGCTCCTCTCTTTTTTTTTTGATTCAAAGGGGTGGCTCTATGGCCCTGATATTGAACTCACAGTCTCGACAAACTCGCGAGACACCAAACATCTTACAAATTTTGGGAGGGGTTCGTCCAAACACATGACTTACCTAGGTCCCAACTCATACCCAATCTAGCTAGATTATGCGCTTCGGCATTACAATTTCTAGGAATTAAGAGGACATCATCAAGAACAAAATGATCACGTAGCAACTCCCTTATGTGACTAATCAACATACCACATGCTGCTAGGTCCATGCCCGATGATGTAATTGCTTGCTTCAAGACTGAAGAATCAACTTCAATTTGGATACGAGATATTCCAAGTTCAGTTGCGGACAAGAGAGCTTTGCTGCAAGCCACAGCTTCAGTCATTAGTACATCCGGTACCGCTGCAAGACACCCTGCTCCCGCTGCCACAACATCTCCAACATGATCTCTGATGATGAAACCCCACCCGCCACTCAATGTCTCCTTAATGAATGCACCATCAGAATTTATCTTCAGCTTGCCCGGCGGTGGATCCCTCCAGCCCTGCTGTCCTCTATTTCCCACTTCCGGGTTCACCTGCAATTTTCTATATTCGAGATCACTCATTAGATTCAGAACTGCACATGTGACTTCATCTCTTGATAGCCCACGCTCTCCTTTGTTCAACTTATTTCGGACACTCCACCATTTCCAAAGTAGAATCACAATTTTTAAACACACATCCTGCTTAAGAAGCAACACTTCTTTCAGCACATCCCAAGCCGAGACTTTTGATAGCAGTGACTGGCGAATTGGCTCAAGTTGGAGATCCAACCAACACTGCCTAACAAACTTGCATTTCAGGAAACAATGGTCACCATCCTCGTCCAGCCGATAGCAAACCGGGCATCTGGTATCAAGGATAATTCCTCTTCGCTGGATATTCATTTTAAGGGGTAGGCTATTTCTCGCTAATCGCCACACAAAATGTTTAATCTTGGGAGGGCACGGTAGTTTCCATAATTTTTGCCAGACAGGATCCTTATGGTCAGTAGAGCAGGTCGAGCTACATTGTCCTCCTTGGCGAGTTCTGACCCTATTTTTTTCATCATCCAGGACATGGTAAACTGATTTCACAGAGAAAATACCGCGGCGATCATAATGCCAAGCAATGGCATCCTCATGTCCTGGGCTCGTGGGTGTGGCCAGAATATGTTGCACGTCTTCCGCCCAAAAAATATCTCGGACAAGTTGTTCATCCCATGTACCAGTTCCTGGGTCTATGAACTCTTCAACTCGTGACAATAGAATCTGCCCTTTTGGTGTTATTGGCCGCCGAGTGACATCATTGGCTATCAAGGATCATCCCAGATTTTAATATTACTTCCATCTCCTACTCGCCAAATAAGGCCCTTGTTTAGTGCTTTGAAACCTCTAATTATACTGCGCCATGTGTAGGAAATTCCCGGCTCTTCCTGAGCTGTTAAAAGTGAGCCATATTTAGCTCTTAAAATCTGTCCACGAAGAGAGTCGGGGTCCTGAATTAGCCTCCAACCTTGTCGTGCAAGCATCGCCAAGTTGAACAAATGTAAATCTCGAAAACCAAGACCCCCCTTCTCCTTCCTTTTGCTCATCACATCCCAAGAAACCCAATGCATCTTCCTTTCCTTATCCTGCTGCGACCACCAATATCTACAAATCATTCTGCTTATATCATCACAAAGGGATTTAGTGATATCAAAGCAGGACATGGCATACAACGGGATGGCTTGCGCTATGGCCTTAATAAGGGTCTCTTTTCCTGCCTTGGAAAGTAATTTCTCCTTCCATCCCTGGATCCTCTTCCATACTCTCTCCTTCAGATAGCCAAAAAGTTGAGCCTTTGAATTCCCTACGTAAACTGGCAAGCCCAAATATCTAGCATTCATTGCCTCCTGAGATAAATCTAAAATCTCCATGAATTTAATCCTGTCTTGTGGTCCTGTATTTTTACTAAACAGAATAGAGGATTTCTCCTGATTTATCATTTGCCCCGAACAAGCCTCATACAGTTGTAGCACATGCCGCAAATCATTTGCATTCCTTTCAGGAGTAGCAAAGAATCATCTGCGAACAATAAGTGAGATATGCTCGGAGCTGTTGCACATATAGAAACCCCTTGCAAGCGCCCCTCCTCTTCTGCTGCCTTCATCAGAGATGAAAATCCTTCAGCACAAATCAAGAACAGATAAGGAGACATGGGATCTCCTTGGCGCAGCCCCCTAGTAGGAATGATCTGTTCTGTGAGTTCACCATTCACCTTCACTTGATACTTCACCGTAGTAATACAATTCATAATAAGACAAATCCATCGATCATTGAAACCCAATTTCCTCATCATCTTCTCCACAAAGGTCCACTCCACACGATCATAAGCTTTACTCATATCCAATTTCAAAGCTGCAAACCCCTTATTGCCATGTCTCTTGGTCTTTGAGGCAATTTTGTATACCACATTACACAAGCTGATTGGTCTCAAATATTTCAGCTTCTCTGGGTGCTGAACTTTAGGAATTAGAACAACGGTTGTATCATTCCATGCATCCGGCATTTGGCCCCATCCAAAAATTGTTTGACCTCCCTAATAACATCTCCACCAACAATATTCCAATATTTCTTATAGAACAGGGATGGCATACCATCAATTCCAGGCGCTTTCAAATCTCCGATGCTATCAAGGCCTTGCTTAATCTCCTCTTCTGTGAATTCTTGTAGCAGCATGTCGTTCATTTCAGCTGTAACTTTAGGTGTCACACAGTTTATGAGAGCATCCATATTGTTATATGCATGGGAAACAAAAAGATCTTTATAAAAATTAGTCACCGCCGCCAAAATCTCCCCCTCATCTTCCACCGCCCTCCCATCATCCAGCACAAACCGTCTCACCCTGCTCCTCCTCTTTCTTTCCGAAGCGAATTGGTGAAAAATTTCTTATTTCGATCACCTTTCTCCAGCCAATGCACTTTCGCCCTTTGTCTCCAATAAATATTTTTTTGTTCCTCCAGCCTTTCCAACTTATACTTCAACAAATCAAGCCTACCCGGAGTAGTGCTAGTGACCGGTCCGCGGCGGCATTCCTCCAGCACCCTTCGTGCTTTCTTGATCCTCTTCTCAAGGTCTCCCAAAACATTCCGGCTCCAATCTGTCAAATCCAAAGCCACGTTGTGTACAGCCTCCCAGACCTGACCCGCCCACACGTCCATAGACAGTTTCCACGCATTCTCAACTATCACCCCACACTGCTCCTCCTGCACCCGCTCTGCCTCAAAACGGAAACTCGGTGGAGAACAACGCAAGCACGGTCTATCTCGCCCCCACTCCGTGTCAACGATCACAGGACGATGATCCGAGTGGCGTGGCTCACCGTTAGTGACCTTGACAGCCGGAAAATGCTCCCTCCAAACACCATCCGCAACTGAACTGCCCGGTCCAGTCTCTCCCGAATTTAATGCTCCTTGGTATGGCTTTGATTCCTCCAGGTGAATGGATCGCCCGTAAACCCAAGATCAGTGAGGCCACACTCCTCCAACTCCTCCCGGAAGCGGTCCATGCTTATTTGGGACCGTGGCTGGCCACCCTTCTTTTCACAGCTTAGTCTTCTTGCTGCGTTCAATGTCCGCAGTGTCTTCCATGACAAAGTCTTCCTCTCTAAACTCGTCTCCCCGTAAAAACCAGTGAATCGCCAGACAAACCCATCTCCCCCTGTCACATCTGCATCGATGTAAAGTTTTGACATCATACGAACATGAACATTAATACCCTTTTTCCAAAACATAGCCAAGCCCCCACTCCTCCCATCACAATCCTTCACCATCATATTACACATCCTCAATTTCCACCTAAAGCCTTCGATTCTGCGCTCATCCATTTTAGTTTCGGACAATAACAGAATATCGAGGTCCTCCTCCTTCTGGACGTTCAGAAGGCCTCGAACTGCAGCTCCATTTCCCAAACCGCAACAGTTCCATGCTATAAGCTTCATTTTGACTCGCGGAGCTGTTTTGACAGCCCCGCGATCAACTGATCATCACCACTGTTCTCCAGAAGCTCAACTCCCTTCTTCGCCTTCTTCAAACTCCCCCCAGTCTAACACAAGCGCTCTCTTCTCCAAGCGAGCGTGCGCGGCCGGCTGCCTCCCCATGCCCAGCGCCCCCACGGCAGCGCGACCCGCTCGCCTTGGCCGCCCCCACGGGCAGCGCGATTGCAGCGCCTCCTCACCACCCTCCCCCACGCCGGCCATGGATTACAGCACGGCAGCGACGCCCCCAAGGCCGGCCATGGAGAACAGCCGCTCCTCAGTACCGCGAAGACGAAGGATTTCAAACAATGAACTCCCTCTTGTTCATTTTGATTCCTGTAAGTGCCGGTTTCTCAAGGTCTTGACAGCGAAAACAGAAAAGAACTACGGCTGCCAGTTCTACATTTGTCCAACTCCCTCCGTTCCATCCCAGCGAGCAGCTCGTGAAAGTAAAAGGAAAGGGACAAGGCAGAAGAGGAAGAAAAGAGTCCAAAGTCCTCGGATGGCATTTTGGCGTCGGTAGGCATGGGTGTGGTTACGGTAGTGCGCCGCGGCGGTCAGCCGGAGGCTATGACCTTTAGCAAACCACCGCGACGGATCACCCGGAGGCTATGGCCTTTAGCGTCGGATCCAGGGCCGGCCGCGCTTCGTTTATTTACGCTTTTCTTGGCAATCCCAGCTTGTTTTTGCTTGACTTATTTGTTTCGCAGATGCTGACTTACTGGAGACTCATGGGATGACCTCTCTCCTGTTTGAGACTCCTACTGGCTTCGCAGTCTTCAATTTTTATGCAATCGGCCTCTACGTACCAAATGCCATAGAGGTATTTCGATTTTCGTAATGCGAGGTACTTCGATTTTCGTTACTCGGTTAATGATGATGTACCTGCTTCCTCTTGTTGTTTTATCCTTGTCTCCAGAGTATCTGGGTAAATTTTGCTGAGCATTTTCTGGCAGAAGATGTGAGTGCCCCCTTCTTCCCTTCCCTTCTTATTATTACCACTCTTTTTTTCCCTTATCACTCTTATATTCCCTCAGTTGCTTGTCGCCAAACTACCAAGTTCTTTTTGCATTGAGGGAGGAATATCAACACAATCTTGCGAGCTGTTCATTAGTTGTTTACTATTATTAACATGATCAAAACTTATGTTGGTAAAGCATGTAGCATGATGTCATTATGCACAAAATTAAGCTAGTTTTGCTAAATGGTTGGAGTGAGTGCTAGGAGATTTCTAAGGGATTGACGCATGGTCTAGAATCTGGGGGTATATCTATGCGTCAATTTCTATCTAGTATCTGGCTAACTGGTACCTAGGGGTGATTATATTGAACCTTGACGTGGTGCTACTACTGAAGAAAACCACCACGTTCAGTTTTTAAAATACACAGAACACATGATACTATCGCTTAATTACATGTTTGGTAAATGAGGCCTTAAACAAGGTATATATCATTGCAATTCGGACATAAATATCGAGTTGAGAATAGGTTCCCCAGATTGAGACAGTGCAAGATATTTGATTAATTGCTTCTCTTTGCTCCTGAACATATTTGTTTTTTTTATCAGACTGTTTGGCTGAATGAATTTCAAACCTTTGATGACAAGTCAAGTGCCATTAATGTTGATACTGGTATTGATGAAAAGCTTACAATGATGATCATGAAGTGGCACCGCCCTAAGAAGAAATTGCTTGTTGGGAAGCCAGAATATAAATCAATCATTGAAAAAGCTTGGTAAGTATGCTCCTTGTTTGCTTAAATGCGTGAACAAGTTTGAGTGCCATCTTTCTGTGACTTTTTCAGGGAATAAACTGCCTGCATAATGAACTTGTAATGGAGGTAATGTGGGGCATGAAGCATCTCCTGCACAAACTGGTGCCTGGAGAAAAATCACAGCTGTCTATGGAGGACCGCCTCCCTATGAGTCAAGGACTACAAATATTACTGCGTCGTTATGGCTTTGATGTCGAACCAGAGATGGTGAGTTCACCAATTGCCATACTTCTATATAGCTCCCTGTCGTTTAGTGTTTAATTTTACAATAGCTTGTGTACTTACTAAGATCCTTCATTTTCATGGACCAAAGCTTTTTATGCAATTTTTTCTAGAAAATTTTGCCTTTTTATTTATCTTTCTGTGATGATGCAATGCTCGTTGTATCCAGGTCAATGAGCAGATTGTTGCGACAGCGCGCGTCTTGTTTAAATGTGATGATGTTGAGAAGAAAGAGTATCAAAACTTGTGCCTCATTCGTCACTACCTTAAGAAGGTGTCTGGCATTCACTAAGAGAGTTGGGACCCTCTGAAACTTGCAACAGCATTTAAGATCATATCAAGAAGTGAAGTTGGTGATTCTGATAAGGTACTTTTTGTGTGAATGCATCCTCATTTGCTCGGCAGTGCATTTCATGTATCACTCGCACCCGTGTGATGGGCTATATTGTTGGAATGATTAGAGTAAGTGGCTTAGCACTTTCCATTCATTGAGTAGGAGTTTATATAGGGAAATTACATGACTCTTCACATTCTAAACTTATCACATTCTATACATATTACATTCTAATACCCCCTACAGTAACAACCGAGAGAGGAGCGGACGTTGAGACTGGTTTGGAAGTTGATGAAGACAGCAGTGGGCAGTCCCTTGGTGAATATGTCGGCATATTGAAGGGACGTTGGAACATGTAGAACCCGCACAACCCCAAGGGCCACACGTTCCCGAACAAAATGTAGATCAATCTCCACGTGCTTGGTCCTTTGGTGATGAACTGGATTTGTGGACAAATAAACGGTCCAAACTTATCACATTCTAAACTTATTACATTCTAATATATATTGTCTCTTTCAGATGTTTCCAGAAGACGTGATATCAAAGTTGCTGAGTGATGCAAATAAATATGATGCCAAGATAAATAAGGTAGCTTGCTTGAGAACCTACAGTCAAGTGGCGTCTGCCCATAGAGTTAGGGCCTTTAAAAGAAATGAATTGGATCGCTTGGTGAAGAAAGCTAAGAAAGTGTATCAAGCTGAACTAGTGGAAGATATATGTTTATAGGGAATGCTCATCTAATTCTGACTGACATTCAGTAATGTTCAATTTTATACATGTTTGCTCAGTAAATCGATGCATATACACATAACACGTGGGCTGATGTATACTCGTTCGATTCCTATATTCGGCCGCGGCAATGGCTATGGCTTACTCTGCTTTTGCTTCCATGATTCCATCCAAACAACGATGGGTGGTCCAGTGCCACCACAGCTAAATTTTGAAAATTCAGATCAGGTCAAAAAGACGCCGCTAATCTCTGAAAATTCAGATCACGTCAAGTAACTAATCGAGCTGGAGCACTTCAGCCACCTGTTCAGGTCAAATAACTAATCGAGCAGGAGCACCTGCGCGTCCCACGAGTATCCAAACTCACACTTCGGTTAGATGGTGAGATGTACTGCACCTAATAGAGGCATGGCGCTGCGCATGTTTGTGTTTACCTCCATCTCCATGGCTCCATCGTTGGGCTGGCGACCAGCCGGAGCCCGCTGGATGCAAGTTTCATTTATTTTGAGTCATTGGGTTAATCTAAAATTTAGTAAAATGAAATATAATAGCATGACACGTAATTAATTTAGAAGAGAGAAATGAACTAAAGTGGCAAGTCAACATAAAGAAAAATAGCTCCAACTACGTACGGTAAAGAACAACAAAGAAAGTGAAGGAATGGAAGGAAGAACTATTTTGGGCATTGGCGGCTCCACTACCGTGCTGGGCCGGAGGCCGGAGCGGTACGCAGAGGCCATAAGGCCGTCTGTAGTGTGGGAGCGGTGCCCCAAAATAAATGGGTCCGTTGTACAGTAATAGGCACCGCTGCCCACTCAGCTGTAGTGTGGAAAAATTTTGGGAGCGATGCCGTCTGCTACGGTTGGGACCCAGTTCCAATAAAATACTCTCGTTGCCTTCTTCGTTCGCGCGATGGAAAATTCCCCTTTCTCCCGTTCCTCTGATCTCCCAATTCGTGCCATGGATCTCCCTCAAATCCAACCATGCTCTTCCAAATCCAGCTTCTCCAGAGGCGCGAGCAGCTGCCGATCTGGTCGAAGGCGTCGCCGTCGGGGCCGATCCAGAGCTACGAAGCCCGCTGCGTACCTTGCCGCAGACGATGGCCGTGGACGCCGCCGAAGGCGCGCTAAGCGAAGCTCCCCACACCATGGCCGAATCTGGCGCCCGGAGGCCACAGAACGCGGAGGTGGAGGGCGTGTAGAGGAGCGCCGCCAGGTCGCGGGCAGCCGAGCCGAGCATGACGACGCCACGATGCAGCGCCCAGGAAGGCTTGCAGCAGGCCGCAGTGGGCGTGAATGCCATGGCGGATGGAGCTTCAGGTGAGGCCTCTGCTGCAGAAGCGGAGGCTGGAGGAGGAAGGCACGCAGACTACTGCTGCTGCCTTGCTTCATAGTGGAGGAGGAAGGCACGCAGTGTCTTCTCTTGCCTTGATTCGTGTATGTTGCAGTACTACTTTATCTCATGAAAGATCTTGACATCAAGTGATTGTGCTTTGTTTTGTTTATTGCGAACCAAGAAAATGAATACTTTTGAATCTGTACACAACGCAATCCAAATGGTGTGCTTCAGATTACAATAGAATTTTTTTTACAAGAATTACCAATAGAAATGTAAAGTAACATAGTACATTTAGTTAGTACACTTTGACCCTGATAGAGTTCATACATAACAAAGACAATTATTTAATGAAAACTACATATACTAGTACAAACATTTTGATAAGAGAGAATAAATCTAAGCTTGGCGCCTCCAAAGCGCTTGAAATATATGCTCAATCAAGTCCGCCTTCGAGGCGACGATGCATATCTCGATCACGTATGTCTTCTTGTATCTCTAGAGCCCTAGTAAATCCATGAATGGGCCCATGTCCATATCCTAACAATGGTGCGAGATGAGCTGCTTTCATGGTACTCATGCTCGTAGTTGTCATCATATCAACTCTGAAAGAATCCTTTCATCCTCCACAATCATATTATGCAATATAATACATGCATAAATAATTTCAGCGAGTGACCGCACTTGCCACATGCGTCTTTGGGCTTCAGAGAATGGCAAATCGAGCTTGCAAAACTCCAAGGCACGCTCCACATCTTTTCTTGCTCCCTCTTGATGTTCTGCAAATAATTTGTCTTTTTCCACACTCGAGGCAAATGAATTGTTTTCACAAATGTTGCCCACTCGGATAAATACCATCTGCTAGGTAGTATCCCATGTTGTACTCATGGCCATTGATCGTGAAATGAACCTCTGGAGCTCTTCCTTGTACCACATCGGTGAACAAAGGTGATCGATTAAGGACATTGATATCATTGTTTGACCCAAAAACACCAAAAATGCATGCCATATCCACAAAGTCGTGTGAGAGGCAACCGCTAACTAACATGACAGTTGGTCCACATTGATCTCCACGAGTGTATCTTTGTCCCTTCCATGCCACTCGATGCAGTTCCTCCATTGCCAATGCATGCAATCCACACTACCCAAAGATGCACCGAAATCCACGCTTTCACCTATATGAAGTAACCTTTGGATGTCTTCAGTAGTTGGTTTTCTTAAATATGTAGGACCAAAACACTCAATGATCCCTCTACAGAAAGTATTCATGCACTCGATAATCAGTACTTTCAAAGAATTCGTAGATTTTCATCCCACAAATCTGCAGGTGTTCCATATGCTAACATCCTCATAGCAACGGTACATTTGTGTAAAGGTGAAAAGCCCACCTTTCCAAATGCATCGCTCCGTTGGACAAAATAAGGAGACCACTCACTAAGGGTCTGCACAATTTTCAGAAACAGGTGTCGCTTCATCCTATACCTCCGTCTAAATTGGAAATCATTGTATACTGGATTTTCTGAGAAGTAATCAGACATTAAACGATCCCTAGCACCTTCACGCCCTCTTTCAATGTACCTTCTATGAAACCTTTGGTTTGGAGTAGACATACCGATATGTTGTGACTCTATCTGAGCTCTGATTTGTGCCTCAATTTGAGCCTCCACTGGATCATTCATGAAGTCCCAAATGAATTGGTCAACTTCATCTTCACTATCAGACTCTTTGTCAATTTTCATGGACATGTTTGGGTCCATGGAACTTCTGTACTGATGTTGGTTTGCTCGATGCAAGACAAACCATGCAGTGGAAGATATGGTCTGCATGCATGGTGCAAATGCAGGTCCCTCATTTTATACAAGGGAGCTCACAACGGCTAGTTCATTGCAACAGTTGTTTTTACAATGCTATATTAGTTGTCGGACCAACTTTTGCTTTTACAATGACCACATTGTCGGACCAACTGTCCTTTTTACAACAGATCTATTGTCAGACCCACTTTTCTTTTCTACAACATCTATATGTATTGTCAGAACAACTATTCTTTCTTTTGTATTAATTTTGGCTAGCTATTTTTTATCTCTGATGTGTGATGTATTTGTATCTTGTTTGTTACAGGCAATATATGGCAATAGTGCATGCGAACCAACAAGTTAATTCATTGATACAAGGTAGCACATTGAAACTTACAAGTCTTGTACATAGATAGCACAAAATATTTGAAAAAAAAGCTAATACATTGCTACATATCCTGAATTTAGAAAGGTATTACATTGCTACATAGCCTCAACTAAAAAGCTTTTTTCAGATAAGTATGCCAACATTTTTTGTGCCTTTCCATGGCTTCTTCATCGTAGCTTGAAGTGTCTTTATCTAACAGGCCATGTACATACCCAATGTCTCAGAGCTTTGCCTTTTCCTTCTCATTGTGCGCAATCTTATTTTCAAAACTTCAACTTTAGCTTTAATAGCTTCACTTTAATAAGTGTTGTTGCTTGAATAGTTTTTCAAAGAGACAATAGTTTTTCTCAATCAAGTTCATTGAATGATTCGCATTTTCATTTGAGATGTTTGTCTTGTGGTATCTTGACTTGCCTTTGCCTTTTTTTGTTGAGCTTTGGCGCATTTCAGTCTCCGGAGGTCGACACCTAATGACAGGATCTATATCTTCACTATCTTGATTTGAAGAAGTATAAGCACCGATGCATTTACCTTGCTTCTCTTGTTCATCATTTCTTCAATTGGGTAAGCTTTACTCCACTTTGGTTGATCCTTCACCGCTTTCCACCAATATTCAAGTGCAAAAGGCCTCTTTTTTCTTGGCGGCTACTTTATATCGCAAAGACGAGCCCTTTCCATAACTTGATCATCGGATTCACCACTAGCATGGTCTCTCTTCTCCTTTTCATAGCATGAATTGAAAATGGTAATGAAAGGGATAGTCTTGGTCCAATGATTTTCAATTGAGCACTGCTTTTTCTTCGATCTTTGGGTGCGATCAAATTGTACTCAACGCAACATCCTTCCAAAGACCTATCTCCTCTTCTATCAATTCCAACAATTGGATCGATTGGAATGTTTCAAATGAAGCACTAACTAATCAAGGTTGTCCTCCTGACTCGTAACAAACGACCTTCCTTCTTTTCACTTTCTTCGTGGTGCTTTCATTGTCACTCCAAACCGGTGTGTTTGCAGGAGGAACACCAGTCTGTTGTTGCTCTTGGGACCTTTGGAGAAGATGAACCAATGGGGTTAGGGCTCTCATCAACCCGTGAATTAGCCCCTCTAAACCTTGGAAGAAACCCATGGATCCAACTTGTGATGCATGACCAACCCCTTAGGGTATTGTTCCATCCTTGGTAAGAGGTACCTTGGTAGCTTCCTTGTGATGGGAATGGGAATTGTGGGTAGTTTGTTTGGGATCCAAAGGGACCCAACATGTGTGAATCTTGGGGGTGGAAAGGGGTAGGAAATTGTGGTGGATAGTTCATGGGGTATTGGGGTGAAGGAAAATGATGTTGCTGCCTAGCTAGATTTTGTGGCTCACCACTTGGATTTTGTGGCTCACCACTTTGTATTGCGAGTTCAAAATATTTGTCGAGAGAAGTTTGTGTGTTCTCCATGGCTCAGAGAGGGAGGGAATAGAGAGAGATCTATGTGTT